AAACAAATCTCTGTGCTGTCTGCCGTTATGTACTGCTTTCAATGAAAAGATAGATAAATGGATATGTTTAATCAACACTTTTGCAGGCAGAGCTGAATTACAGTGCGGGTCAGAAAATTACACACACAATATAACAATGATATAAATAACACTGATAATATTTCAGCAATTTCTCATGAATAATATAAATAAACCTTAATAAATAACATCAGATAAGGGTTAGGTGTCATGCGGACGTCAAGGGGGAACAATCCAACTCCTGGATCATCGGGAGTCCCCTCTTTTTCTCTGCCCTCATTTTTTCTCTTGCCTTCACCCTCAGTACAATTTATCGGCATCGCTTAATCGCGAGGGCTGCTTCGCTGGTGACTACCGCAGTAAGACAGCGAGATCTTAGGAGTCATGGGTTGGCGTAGTGGTGAGAGCGCTCGCCTTCCACCAATGTGTCCCGGGTTTGATTCCCAGACCCGGCGTCATAAGTGGATTGAGTTTGTTGGTTCTCTCCTCTGCTCCGAGAGGTTTTACTCCGGGCACTCCGGTTTTCCCTTCTCCTCAAAAAAACATCTTTATTTGAATTTATTTAATTTAGAGTTTATTTAGATTTAGACACGACCCCACAAGCTGTTCAGCTTTAAACATTATCGTGTCCAAATAAAAGTATTATTATTATTATTATTATTATTACTATTATTATTATTAGATCCCAGAGAGGTCCACAAGTTATCTTCCATCGTACTCATGATCGATGCGGATGTAATATAGTATTGCATAGATTTTACTTCACTGCTATCAAGACCATCAATGCTCTCGGTGAGTGGTTAAGGAAATTTCGCGCTTTCCTTTCAATAAAACAGACACAAACCTATGAAAAATCGCGACTGGGCTGTTTTTAGGGATTTTCCTCATAGTTTCCATTGACTCCTTCGGATTTATTCTTATGTTGTGAAGTTATTGTAAGACTTACGTTGTGATCGTACTCGGGGACTTGTGTCTTGTACCCAGGCTCTTGGGGTTTAGATCAAGTCCCCAGTCCCAACCCAGCCCCTGCTTTCTGGTCACGTTCGAGTGTCGAGCCGGCTGTTTACGAGGTCGAAAGATTTACATTCTTGGCAAACTACTCATTTGAGCCCATTTTTCCAACATCAACCATGAAAGGACGAGTAATTATTTATTCTATCACCGGCTGTCCGTTCTGTATGAGAGCAAAGGACAAAATGCAAAAACTTGGCATCGAATATATGGACATCAATTTAGACACTCACCCAGAGCGACGGGCAGAGGCCAAAAAGAGGACGGGAAAGAACACTGTGCCGCAAATATTTTTCAACAATATACATGTCGGTGGATTCGACGACTTTAATAAATTGGTAAGAATGAATATATCTTCCTTCATTGTTTCTTTAAGGTTTCAAGATTGCCGAACTTTTTTAGGCTTCGAAGCATGCATGTCAACCCGGAAAAGTTAATTTTTAAGCTTTACTTCTTAGTCGATAATTATTTTAGCAACCTTTTCCTCGTATTCCCTTTGGGTAGCCTACAATTTTAATTTAACAATCGAAATAAATAATGTAAGTCTTCTCTAGAGCCATGATACGGGCTGTCAACCATTGCTAAGAAAATTTACGTGCGACTAACTTGTCAAAATAAACATGAGGTAACACTCCAGTCACCACTTCTAACAGTCCTAATTATGATATTGCTTGTCTATAGTGTGGCACATTGTTATTGGTAAAATATTCATGTAATTTTCACACGTATCTTCAGAAAATAGCCCAATATCTTCTCCCCAATGATGTGTCCCGTTAAACCAACGCAAATATGTTGACTACGTGTTGTTTGCCATGTCATGTTGACACTGCATAAACTTTATCATCTCTGTAAATAACAAAACGTATATGGACATAATCATAGTTAACGCATGAAAGCAAAACACTCAATACAAAGAGTATATAACCGCAGTTCAAAATATATGAACTTTCATATATTCATTGTACCAAAGAGTGTCTCCGAAAACATACCTGATCTGTGGCAGATGTGAATTTCATTGCTTTCACTGTTTGTTTGGTTTAACCAACCAACTGCCTAGTTAACATCTGGCTCTGAGTTAAACTGCTCTTTTTAAACACTCCAAAAATTCAGATAATTTAATCAACCTTTTACATCTTAACATCAGTATGCATATTCTCCATACTGTTCTCCATACATTCCCAAAGGTAATGACAAGGAGAGTTGATTTAACCCATTAATGGCCGCAGCTTTTGTGGAAAACTGTGTTTTGAAGCTAGTCGAGCAGATTTCGGGCCGCTGTTGGGGTTTTAAAAGCTCAAACTTACCAAAAACCCCTTGACAGCTTGTACACTCGACGGCCTTTTGATCCAAATGCAAAATGGCAGCCTGAAAATCCCGGGCACGCGCAAAAAGCAAAATTTCGAGATAGTCTTTGGTTGAAAAGTAATGCCCCACTTACGACTTTTACTTTTCTCTTTTTCTCCTGCCCTTTGTTTCCCCTCTCCTTGCCTGAAGTTTCTCCTCACTTGCTGGAAATTTAGTAGGCTTCATTTTGGTGTAGAGATTTTTTAGGAAACTACTCATTATTTTCAAAGCACATGCTCAGAAAGGTAGGTGGGTGATGGAACAAGATTTTCATGCAGATTTTCAGGTCAAAGTTACATGGTTTTTTGGTTATTTCTCCAATCTCCTTCACTCAATTGCACTCATTCTGGTATTATTTGTAAGATATTTTCAACCTGTTCTGAAAGTACGTGCTCAAAGTTGTGCTCCAGGGTTAAAAGTGATGACTTCACAAGGCGTAGAAAGGGTGTGGGTCCCCATGGGTGCATACGGGCGTACTGGACGTCAAGAGGTTAACAGCCAAGAGCTTCTTAGGTAATTGTGATAATTTCCTTTAATCCTGTGACCTTAACATGTGATTCAGGGGCTGGATGCTTGGGTGGGGTTGCATCTAAACCTGTTTTTGTTCTACCACGTCTAATGCCCCATTTACTATTTTGCTTTTTTTTTTTTTACTAACTTTAAGCCTGCAACAAGCTTTGCTGCAAGAACTTGTAACCTAATTTAAAAACAACAACTGCCATTGGAAATGATTGAAGGCTAAATTTGTACTTTTAAGTATTTGTAAATTATCTTCTACAGGTATGAAACATCTAAACCGGTCCACATGTATATTTTAAAACGTACTTATAATGATATTCTTATACTCTACAAGAAACAATCTTTTTTAAATCTGCAAAATGTGGGTCAACATTAGTCTATGAATTGCAATCTGCACACTTCATTTATTGTTAAAGCACAAGTGATGTTTTATTAAATGAAGATTCTGTAACTTTTATTTTTTTTGTTAATTTTGATTCATTACTGGTGATGAATTTCTCAGAGTGAGGCTGAGCTTCAAGAGTTGATTAAAGAAGTTGAAGAGAATCCTGCTCCAGCAGATGCTCCCCAACCACCCACCCCAAAGTCAGATGCAGCCAATGGTGGTAAATTTCACTTTTCTGTTTATAAGAAAAAGAAGATTCCTTCGGGGGGGAGTTAATGAGTACTCCCTTTAACCCATTAACTCCCATAAGTGACCATGACAGATCTCTTAATATTCAAAATTGAAATAATCATCACCCTTAGCATCAAAAAAAGGTTCTTGGTGGAAGTAATACTAATACTAATATTATGATGTTTATTCAAACCTTTTGCAGAGAACTGAATTACAGGTTTGTTACAATGAGATGTTGTTAAGGTTGAGAACAGATGTCGGCATTTTCTCAGGCGCCTCTGGCAGCCGCTTCAGTCCATATCAATCTCACCTTCCCACCCATCCCACTCCAGGGGAGGACATCCATCACACAGTAATCTCATGTGTGGGAAATTAACGTCTCCTACCCCAACCCTGCAGGAGACGGGACCTCCATTTATTCGTCCCTATCCGAGAAGACTAGAAAATCTAACCATTTCTTGATGTTATAGAATGGTAGCAAATTCTTCTCAATTATTTTAAGACCTTGAGTGTTGGTCCGGCCGGGGCTCGAACCCTCGACCTCCCGCACAACAGTCCAGCGCACTATCCATTGAGCTAACTGGGCAGCGGTCAAAATTAATGAATTATGATATAGTGGGGTTACTGAAGTTTATAAAAAAGGAAGCTATGAGGCTTTTGTTTTGACACAACAATTGGGATGGGCTACTGTGGAAGGAAGATGGTCATGGGGCAAAACTGGTATTCCACTTTAAATTTGGACTAGTACCAGAAGTCCCTTCTTTTCATAGATTAAAGCAACATATTTTTCCCACTGATTTTTATCACTTGGGTGATGGACTTTGCTGAAGAGGAGGGACTGCACGTAGTCTAAGGTTGCATGAACAGTTGGGCAGAGCCTCTCTTAACAAAATTTTACCAAGGGGGTACACCATCAATCAGTTTTGTCTTCATTATACCCTTACTGGATAACATTATGTGATATAACTCTAACCTGTGTGTTTGCAATTTGTAACAATGACAGGGGAAGCAATTGACTTCACCTGTGAGCTGGATGAATATGCTCAGCTTGTCAAAGACTTTAAAGAAAGTGGTCTCATAAAAGATCGCCGCAAAGGTCTCATTCATTGTTACAAAAACTCCTTTATTGGCAAGGAAGCTGTTGATTGGCTTGTGACGTCAAAGAAAATAGGTGAGTGGCATTACCATATTTCTTCACCCATAAGCAGAGCAATTTTACCAATTTGACAAAAAAATTTGGAAGACTCTTTTGCTAGAAACAGGGTTTGGCTCATAGCCAAGGGTTTGGAATTCAAAACCAAATATAATTGGTGGGTAATTTTGCTCCTGCTTGTAGACAAGTTATCGATGATGTAGAAGTAATAAAACACAACAACAGTGATTGGTTATTGACTTTTATGAAATTGGTGGCTCTTAAAAGAGCCATTTGATGGATATGTACTGAGGCTTTCAATCTACCGGTATTACGTATTATTACCCAAACGTGCTTTGTAGAGTACAAATGATGCGGTTTAAGTACAAATATCACACGATATTTGTACTCCAGAAATATCTGCGAAATTATCCTGCACTGAAGTAACAATTTGGCCTATTGGATAATAAATCTCTTATTGAACGTTTTGTTGTGTATTATTGCAGAGTATTTTAACCCATTGTTTGTGTTTTGACTCACCTTACAGGCTCATCAAAATACGGCATAACTCATAAAAATAGTCAGCGTTACTGCACAACAAGACATCTAATAAGATATATTTAGTAGTTAGCAGAGAAATGCAGTAGGAGACACAGTGCAGTGAGATCATGCCAAAGTGAGGGGTTGGCCCTAGCTAAGGTCGCTGTGCTCTGTTCTTGGGCAACTTACTTAACCCTTTTACACCTAAGAGTGGCAAACATAAAATTTTCCAAACAAAATCACCTTTGAGTCCAACATTATGGTCATGAGAAAAGCGAAATGATCAGCAACTGAAAAAGTTCTTGATTGTTAAACAAATTCTCCTTGTAAGCTCCCTGGGAAATGTGTAGAAAACAGTATGGAGATTATGCACACTGATGTTGGGGTGTGAAGGGTCAACTGCCAACTGAAGTCTCTCTCTGCCCAAAGTAGGTCAGGGAAACTTGACAAATTAATAGTAGATCAGGGAAACTTAAAAAATTGCTGGAGGTTAGCTGTGATCAAAGGATTAGCCTCCCCACTGAGAGGAGAAGCAGCACTCCTAATTGCATCATGTTATGGAAACTTGGACAAGCTGTGGACATGGTGATGACTACTAGGCTTGTTTGTGATTTTTGAAAAGGATCCTTGTTTGTTGTGTGCCTGTGATTTTCTGCCAATTTTTGAACAAGATTTTTGATGTGCTAATGTGCTTGGATGTAGAGCTTTTAGTACATAGACATAGTCAAATAAATACTTAAATGTATTGATCCAACCACAGGAAAGCGAGCTGTTCTTAGTTAACTTGTCCTGAATATTTTTGGTATAGACTGTACAGACTTCCATTTTTATGAATGAAATATTCTCTTATTGCAGGAAATGATATTCTAAATGCTTTTCATGGTTTAAACTTTGAAAACGCTTGCATAATTGAAATGAGTTAGAATGCACTCCACAGCCAGGTCTATTCTGATGAGGGTGGAGCAAAATCCTTGATTGTTCAAAATAGTGGGGGTGTTCTTTGTTAAACAGTTTATTTCTTTAAATACATTTTTAATAGAATCTTAAGAATAGTACCTCTCAAGGTAAAAGTGAGTATCAAACACAACCAAAAATTAACATTCTGGTACTTTATCAATAAAGTTTTTTGTCCACTTTTATGTGAAAGTCCCCAAAAGTCAAGTTCTTTGGTAAAGTCTGTTATATTTTTTTACATTTTTTTTAGAAAGAGAGAAAGCTGTAGAGATGTGTCGTGAACTTGTAGAGCGCAACTTTGGACATGGTGTGGAAAAAGGAAAGCACACAGAGTTTAAGGACGACAGTAGCATTTATCGCCTCCTCGAAGATGATGAATCGACCGCACTGAACTCTGGGATGAGCTCTGTTTGTGAGCCACGCCCAGCCCCTGAGATCGCTGAAGAATTGCGGCGCTTGATTCTTAAGTTATACGGCCAGTTTTTGTCTAAGGATGGAAAGGTAAATTCGGAATAAATGTAAGTTAGCTCTATAGGGCTCTTAGAACTCATTTGCTCCTATTTATTGTAAAGGCGCACTTCCATAGGGTGGAAAATAACTGTGACTCTGTATCGGCTCTTGTATCTGTCGTTGAGACAAGTGCACAAAGCTCTTTGTTCACTCTCAAACTGTTCACAGCAAAGAGACAAACAAACGGACAGACAGGGAGACAGTTGAATAAAGGGGTAAGTTTTAAAAGAAATTGTGGTACTTCGTCGGTCAGGGGTATTATGAATAAGTTTGTTTTAATCAACTGAATTGATAACGTAAATTGGCCACCGTACAGAGGTTCTACAGCTGGCGTTTCGAGTGTTAGTCCTTAGTCAGGGCGAATAGAAGGGACAGACCGACAGAAAGCCAGATGGACGGACGGACTGAAAGACAGACAGACAGGCAGACAGACAGACAGTCATACAGAGAGACAGACAGATGGATGGACAGATAGACAGATGGACGGACAATCATACAGAGAGAGAGACAGAGAGACAGACAGATGGAAAGACAGTCACAGAGAGACAGACAGATGGATGGAAAGACATACAGATAGACAGATGGACAGACAGTCATACAGATAGACAGATGGACGGACAGTCATACAGAGAGACAGACAGACAGCCTGAGTTGAAAACTGAAGACAGTCATACAGAGAAACAGACAGATGGACAGACAGATATACAGACAACTAGACAGACAGAAAGAATACAGATAAACAGATAAACAGACCGACAGGCAGAAATACAGGTAGACAGACAGAAAGCCAGATGAACAGACAGACAGACAGACAGACAAACTGATACACACTGCGAGTGTAGATTTTAATTATGATACGCGAGGATGGAGGTAACTCAGAATCCGCCAAACCTCAGAACAGACAGAACACTTCCAGTACAGTGACAAACAATTTTCTACTTTTTAATAGGGGGTGGATTACAATTCCATGGGAGATAGTGCAGAATTTAAAGCCTACATTAAGCACACAGCTGAACTGCAGCGTGTTAAACTAGATGGATTGTCTAGAGAAGAAACTCTTGCTTTCTTCATTAACATTTACAACGCTTTGGTTATTCACGCTACCGTACTCAGAGGACCACCTGCCAACCTTTGGGAGAGATACAAGGTAGTAGAAAAGTAGTTTAAGTTGTTTATTTGAAGACAGAATTCTTTGATTTCGACATTTCAATCCTAGTTGCAGCAGTCATTATGGAATCAGAGTCCAATGGCCTAGCCATTTCAAATCTTCTACAGCTTAGTAGTTGAGCTTCCGAAGAATAATTCATAATTCCGAAAGTTGTAGGTTCGAATCTTGTTGCGTAAAGCTCGTGGAATTTCGTGTACTCTCTTGGTCAACCCGAGACGTTTACAATTTCTCGGGTAATTAAAGGATCCCTTCCAACCACAATACCCTGCGCGCCCAAACAGAAAAAATAATTAAGAAATAACTAGTCAAATAGAAAGAACAATAAATTTGGAACGCGATTGAGGAAATTCAAGACCTCAGTGAGGCAAATGTACTCGGATGAACGAGGATTTCTTTCCACTTCACGACTTGTCCAATACCGGATGGCAGAGAAAATGGCGGATTTCACATATCGCGCGCGCAATGTATTGTGGTTGGAAGGGATCCTTTAAGGGAAATTTGTTGTGCATCTTGAATAACGCAAACCACAACAGGCCTCTACATCAGCGACGCAAGCTCTCTTTCAAATCGCGTTATGAATTTTATTGCAGTTTTTCAACACCGTAAGCTACATCATTGGTGGTCACACGTTTGGCCTCAACGAGATTGAGAATGGCATTCTGCGTTCAAACCGCAAGGCCATCGGTGCCGTGACCAAGCCTTTCTCGAAGAGTGACCCTCGACTGAGAGTTGCGTTACCAGCTCCTGAGCCAAAGATTCATTTTGCTCTGGTTTGTGGAGCCAAAAGTTGTCCACCGATAAAGACATATACCTCGGCGGTAAGTTTTAACTTCATCGTGACATGCTCTTATTTAATGGATAATTACTTCAGCATATGGCATTATGAGAAATATTGCAGCCAGCTGAGGCTGTAGGTCGAAGCTGGCTGCAATGTTTCTCATAATGCCATGTGCCGAAGTAATTATCTATTATAATTATTGATCCCCATAAAATCCTATTGTTCTGTGTCTGTGTTGGATCTTCGATTTTAGTCGCACCTATGTGTGATAATTGTGATGCTCATTGCTATTGTTCTTTGTTGTGAAGAATATATCTTAGATTTTAATTGTGCCGAGGGTTGTTATTGTAGCTCGTTGTTATAGTTGTTCAAAACAGTTCTAATGATGGAATTAATTCGTGCAAGGCGTGTAAAACAGCTAATTTGCATACATTGCAAATTATAATTGCATTATAAGCCAGAGAATTCAGTCATTTTACTTAGTGCGAACCTGGGTTTAGAAAGAGGATGGATTCGTCGGAAGACGAAGGATTATTTATTACACAGAGCTTTTCGAAGGCAGAGATTTCAGCAGAAATCGAAGATAATGTAGTGCAACGTTTAGAAATTTCTGTCAGTGCTTTAATTCTTTATCGACTTCTAAAGGCGGCGTTTCCATTTTCTTTTTTTAAATAGAGTAAAGATTTATAACGCCAACTACAGCTTCAGAATGCGAGAAATTTGACAAAAGTTGGGTTTCAGACGAAAGCCGCCGGAAATGGGCGTCGGTTTTGAAAGTCTTTGAGGAGTAGAAGAAGCAATATTTTTAATAATTGTAACCTGCACTGCAATATTTTTGATATTGCAGCATGCTTATTTAGCGCGTTTAATTATATTACTCCTGATAATTTCCCTGCTAACAAATAGGACCGCCTCCGTTCTCCTCATACAGTTGTTTTGTCATCTTAAAGACTACAATCGTTGATTTAATGCAGAGAAACAACAGTAGAATTTCATGGGGATCAGTAATTATTTTGTAATATTTCATTTCGTGTGTAGGTGCGAGCGCTTTTTTTTAAAGATAGCAGTTAGTTTTTCTAGAAAGGGGCTCGTATTTTGGAAATTAAACTTGATTTAAAAAATCGAGTTTCCGGATGGGATTTGAACCCACGACCCTCCGTGATCTAGTCGGATGCTCTAACCACTGAGCTACAGGAGACTCTATGGTGAGCAAGGGTCAATTAGTGGGTATTGACTGGAACCGCATCACGCGGCTACACAGCCAAACATCAGCTAGCGCATAGAAGCTCACTAACAGCATCACGCTGTCACATTAAAGCATCACATGCATTAAAGCATCACATGCAGCCAACCAGCCTCCAAAGTGAGCATGTAAAGATGAAATAAACAATTTTTAAAAATCGAGTTTCCAGTGGTTATGTTTGGAAGGTTAGATCGATATTGGTCGCAAATATGCCGCAGAATGAATCTAGTGCTAGAAAGGCTTTCGCAGGTCGACGACTGGCTGAGAATTCCTTGAGCGTCTTCTCTAAATGACGTCACAAGTCTACTCTGCCCAGATCCCCATTTACGCGGTCGTGGTCCATTCGGATCTCGACTTCAACAGGGCGTAAAAAAATGAGGGTTTAACCAAATCCAACAATTATTTTCGAAGAAATACTCACCAAAGCTGGAAGATTTTTTTAAGTGAAGAAAAAATTTAGGGGTCAGGTGCACTTTAAAGTAGTAAGTCCAGAAAAATGTGATCAAGTGGGTAGTAATCAGTCAGTAGTTGTTAGCACTAATTCCACTAGAATTGTTATTTCCTATAAATAAACTGATGAATATAATACTTCTTTTTGCAATAGATTGTGCTCCATACTATCAGTCTCCTTGATTGTATTTTTTTTCAGTGTTTGAAAGTTTTAGTTGATTAAAGTGGCACTTCGAAACAAAAAATTAAGTTGCAATGAGCGAGAGTTAAACGCAAACGGTAATGTTGACAATGTGGTAAACTATCAGTTTTGGTGCGCTTTATACATTAAATTTCCTGAAACAAGCTGCAATATTTTTAATAATTGTAACCAGCACACTGCATTATTTTTAATATTGCAGCCTGGACACTGCAATATTTTTCATATTGCAGCATGCTTATTTAGCACGTTTAATTATATTACCCCTGATAATTTCCCTGCTAACAAAAAGGACCGCCTCCGTTTTCCTCATACAGTTGTTTTGTCATCTTAAAGACTACAATCGTTGATTTAATATAGAGAGAGAACAATAGAATTTCATGGGGATCAGTAATTATTTTCTAGTGAAGCCATAACAGTGTTGTTTAATCTCACAGAGAATTAGCTGAGTTACTCAGCAAATTAAGTCTTGAGTCTTGCTATGCAGTGGTCGTATAATCTGGGCTACTGAAAAATTAGTGCATTTCTTCGCAGCATCTGTAATGAATTTTGATATTTCCCTTGAATTTTAAGACCTGTTATGTAGTTATTCTTCTTGATCTTCTGGATGTAGCCAGTTATAGCCCGCCCATATCAAACACGCGCAGTCAAACAGAAGAATATTTAATGAAACGTCGAAATTAATCCGAGATTGCATTGGTTTTGCTTTAAGGCAGCGAAATACGAGATACAAAAACCCTCAACTTGGCGCGCAACATTGTTTCGTTGCAAGTTTTGGTCGATGTTTCTCGTTTTTCACCTTGCATGATCAACTGTCTCGCAACAAAAACATTTGTTTACAGGTTGAAGAAATTTGTTGCGAAAAGTAGAGCGCGGGTCAACTTTGAGCAACAAATTTCTTCAACCTGCAACAAATGTTTTTGTTGCGAGACAAGTTGATCACGCAAGGTGAAAAACGAGAAACATCGACCAAAACTTGCAACGAAACAATGTTGCGCGCCAAGTTGAGGGTTTTTGTATCTTGTATTTTGCCGCCTTTACTTCGCTCTGTGATTGGTCCCGAAAACTCACGCCACTCCCTCAACCAATCCCGTGTAAAACTAAAAACCAATCGCGACTTGGTCACCCGCGTTTCCCGCGCTTTAGGTAGTTTGGTTGGTTTTCCTTTGACTTCTGATTGGCTGTTGTCATCACTTTGGTTTTGGTTCAACGACATTCAGTCGAATTAACGTTTATTCCGCCGGGCGTCACAGAAAAATTCAACTCTTGCGGGCTCCTTTTTCTTCTTATCCTAGTAACGCACTTAACCTGGAAATGTAGTTGATGTAACAGTAACAGTATTTCAACTTTGCAGGGAATAGACGAGGAGTTATCCCTCGCAGCGGATTCTTTCTTAGAAGGGGAGGATGGCTGCGTTCTCAACATGCCGAAAAGAGAGGTGAGACTCTTTGTAACCTCAATGTCGTATAGCCTGAGAAGGATTCTCACTCACTGAGAACGAGCCTGTGATAAACTTTTTGAGCAAAAATTGGTGGGGTCTAGCCATGGAATAGATGAAATGGGTCTGACAATTAGTGAGCTGTATCTAAAAGCTTTATTTTAAGAACTAAATGGAGAAAAACTGGTTCTCTTGACAAAGTAGATAGTATCAAAAATTGAACGAATCACTCGTTCTTCATGTTTTGATTCTTCAATATATGTTGAGTAAGTGTCGGCTTAAAAGAGTCCCGCCGTTGTCACTCGTATTTCCCTCGCTTCAGTTTACTTTGTTTTTCCCTGAGGTCTCATCTGGGTCCTTTTGCTTTCCTCCTTTGCTATGATTGGTCGTTTTGGTTTTGGTTTTCGACACTCAAATTTGCTTTATGAAAGTACTTAGGAAGACATCTTTTTTGACAAAACAAATCTCAAGTTTTATGGTTCTTTTGATTTTTTTTCTTGTTAATTATTTTGCTCAAAGCGCGTAACTTTTTTTGAGAAATGCTTCAGTGTAAGTTAATGCAGTCTTAGAGCTTTGATCTCGAAAAAAGCATTTAAAACGGAAAGGTGTGTCGCGATCTTGAATTGGAATCGGCCTCAATCTGATACCATATTTTATTTTTAGATTCGACTTAGCAAAATTTTCCAGTGGTACAGGGTAGATTTTGGCTCCAACAACGAAGAGGTAAATATTATTAGAATTGAGACAACTGCATTTGGCAATCAGTAACCAGGGCTCGACACTAACTTTTCAACTTACTAGCCAAGTGGCTAGTGACATCCTAGATGTTTTTAGACGTTACGACAATTTCGGTCTGTTTACTAGCCAAACTGGCTGGTGGAAATTTAAAACCATTAGCCAAAACTGAATTTCTACTAGTCTGTGGCTAGTGGGCTACCGTTAGTGTCGAGCCCTGAGTAACGTTGCTGATGGGTTGAAGAAGGGCAAAGCGTTCTGAACTCCTTCAACTTAACGAATAACGCAGAACAAACGAAAAATAAAATATGGAACTACCACACGAACGAACGAATAAACGAATGCAAGACTAAATGGATGAGCGAACACGCCGGCACAAGCAGTGACAGGAACAAACTTCGGAATAAAAAACCGAACGAAAGCACGAGCGAACGAACGAACAAGCAATGAATGAACGAACGAGAAAAATTGACGAAGGAACAAAAAAAAAAACGAACGGACGAATGAACGAACGTATGTAAGGACGAAGGAAAGAACGAACGTCCGAACTAATGAACAGAGGAACGAAAGAGTGTACAGGACAGAAAAACGAACGAAGGAATAAACAACGAACCGAGAACGAACGAAGTAAATGAATGTAAGAACAAACGAAGGAACTTAAGAACGAACGAACGAGCAACCGAGCGAAATACGAACCGAGAACGAACGAAGGAATGAATATACGAACAAACGAAAGAACTTAAGAACGAACGAATGAATGACCAACCGAGCAAAATACAAACCGAGAACGAACGAAGGAATGAATGTAAGAACAAATGAAGGAACTTAAGAACGAACGAATGAATGACCAACCAAGCGAAATACGAACCGAGAACCAGCGAAGAAATGAGGGAACATTATCGAACGAGTGAACTAAAGAATGCATACTAGTAAAGCTATATTTCTCGCTAATATCCCTCGCCTTAAAAATATTAATTGTCCGAAAAACAATGTTTGTGTTCAGTGATGTCTGGTTCTTCATGCCCCTTGTGTATATCTTATAATGTTTTGTTTCCGTCTGACTTTTTTTAGCTCGTTCAGTTTGTTTTGGCACACATGGGACAAGGCCAGAAAAAGGATCAGCTGCAGGAATTACTGATTAGTGGCAACTTTAAAGTCTCTTTCATGAAATATAACTGGGATTTGAACTCCAAACACTAAAAAATAAAGTACAAACCTGCCAATGTCGATCGAAGAGGACTGTAAACTATCTTTTTTTCCAATATTTATTCTCGACAAACACCACCTACGTTCTAACAATTCTCTCTTTGTGACAGTTCAAACGTTCCAGCAAATGTCTTCAAACGTTCCAGCAAATGTCTTCAAACGTTCCAACAAATCTAACTTAAATTACAATGTATTACAGTTGTGTAACTGATGGTTAGTATTTTTCCAACAATCACGAGTACAGTAAAATCCCAAGCCAAACTATTGTAATATGTCTATATTTAATTCCTATTACCCAACACGTTTCCCCTTCCTTGGCAGGCAGAATAAACGCGTGCAATAACAACATCTCTCTCACAATAAATCAACCACAGACTCTGTTTACAATACATGAAATATATCCCACTCTCTAATGCAATCATTTACAATTCGGTGTCATAATTAATATTTACTATGGTAAGGATATTTAATTAATGACTTAATTTGTAACTATCATTACCAGACACCCCTTAACATCAGCATGCCTATTCTCCATACAGTTCTTTATACATTTCTAAGGTGCTGACATGGAGAAATTAGATGTTAAAGTAAGTTAAGTCTGTTTACGAGCCTAGTAGCCCATTAGGCTGGTGCTTAACTCCGGTTTCTGTAGCATGAAGTGACTAGGAGTATTTCTAACTCCCCCCTGGATGGGATGCTAGTCCATCGCAGGGTTACCCCCAGCATTAAATTGCCGGTACCCGTTTATACACCTGGGTGAAGAGAGGCACTGTGAGAGTAAAGTGTCTCGCCTAAGAACACAACACAGTGTCCCGGCCGGGGCTCAAACCAGGACCGCTCGATCCGGAGTCGAGCGCACTGACCATGAGGCCACCACGCCTCCACAAATTAGATGTTAGTCGCTCTTTATTTTAATCTCTTCTGTTTTTGAAGATCCTAGGAGGACTTAGAAATAACTAATATAAGTGTCACAAATTTTGCACATGTGAATATCCCTCATCGTATCAATTTGTTTTTCACCAAAATAATCAAAGAACATATGAGGTACATGGAAAATTACACTGGGTGGCCACTTACCTTAAGTCTCAAAATAACTTAATAAGCAGGACTGGGGTTGTTTTGTAGTTATCAGTCTCTAAGCTTATTCTTTCATGATGGCTAATCAGCAATTTATGGAAAGGTTATTGTAGTTTCTGTCTCATATTGACAATGATGACTTGTATGTTGACCTTTAATGATGAGAATGATGAGTTAATCCAAAACATCCTATTCAACATTCAATCACATTTTAGAGATCTTTAGTAGCAAGCAGGTCTGTTGAGGTTACTTATAGCTAGAAAAAGACGTACTTATTCTTATATATTCAAGTTGTAGATTTTTGTAATGACTATAGGGTCCTTTTTTTAAAGAGGGATGCATGTATACAAAATAGTGTACTATTTAAATCTATGAGTCTTGTAATGGGTAATGGGATTTTCCATGTTAGAGATTCAAATTTTGTCTCCTGTCCAAGGGGGAATTTACAGCTAGAGTGCTGTTTGTGCTGAAAATGTAGGTTACCTAGGTTACCAATATGGACAAGGTGGGAACTTTTAAGTTCCATGACTTTTTGGTTGTTTGGAAACTAAAGTATAAGTTGACCTCTTTGTTTTTTGTATTCAACGCAACAACAGCTTGTGTGGTTCCTATTTATTTATACTTTTGATTAACAATTTAAACAAATGAAGCAATGAAATTTAGTCATTGGTGTTTCACATTCTATAATATGCTAGCTCCTGTTCAGAAAATGAGCATTGGATTTCTCCTTCTTAGAGAGGAACAAACAAAAATCAAACTATCTTATGAGCTATTAATTCCTCTGACATCTCTGGGCACACTGTTCATGTTGAGAGACTTTTGATAAAAGTATGTACACTGTCAAGTATATTACTGGAAATGTAATTAGTTGTTGTAAAATTTGTCCCTAGTTTAGTACCATCTGGTTTACTCTAATGAAAAGTTGGTACAATCTTTTTTCATGTGATGCATTTTCACACATCAACTAATTGCAAATCTCATGATTATAAGCTTTGGTGAAAAAATTGGAGTACTCTCTGGTGCCTCCAAAAATAAGGATTTCACATCATCAGGTGAAAAGATGTTGTACTGCATTTGACTTTTCACTTGTACATATTTTTACTGCAGGTTTACTTACCAAAAAAATGCAATATTTAGAATGTCTTTGTTAATCAGCATTATGGAACTTAGCAGACAATGTTTTAAAACATATTTATCATAACTCAACAAAGGAGAGTAATCCATTAAATTGTTGTAAGAAGTAATGTAGGGGTATACCTAAGATGGGGAGGGGTGCATATGCAAGGAATGCAAAGTAAGCTTTCAAGAGGTGTATTGTTAGGGGAGAGAGCAGGGGTGGAACAAGAAAGAACCCCTATTCCACTGAGTATTGTTAACCCACAAAAGAAGTCTTGACTGCTCAATTATAAGCAGCCTCGCAGAAAATTGTGAGTGACCTAGTCTTTACTGGTTTTTAGTTTAATATTTGATTGGTAGGGAAGGTGATGCAAGTTTTCCCAAAATATTTCAAGGGAAATAAAGCAAAAGCAATTGAGAGCAATCCTCTGATTTCTTTTAGCACTCAATTAAATAGTATGGTCCATGTCACTTCGCACAATATTGACAATTAAGGGGGAAAATTACTAAAAGAGGAGCAACATGCAAAACAACTGATCAAACATTTCCATTAAATGGCAATTTCAAGGAATTAAGAAATTTAGGAATTAGAATTTTAACGGCTTAAGAGGAAAAAAATGAAACTGATTTTCATATTTCATTCAAAATATTTCTTTACTAACATTAATCCTAGGCTACAAGCACACCATACTTCCTTTTAACTTGAATAGGAACAAGTTTGATTGGCTCACATTGTATTTAAGATCACAACATTAATAATAAAATGTAGAACAGGCACCTTGTTTTATGACCAGTAGTTTGATCAAGTACCAGTATTACAAAAAGGAACATATTTTAATAGAACAATGTTTTGTCACTGGAAAATTCTAAACAGTTTATGCATCTTGAAAATTGAGGCAAAACTTTTTAATCTCAAAGCAAATTTCAGTGCTTTATTTGCAACTGATTTTATAGACCCATGACATTCCCCATCTTAAGCCAACCTTTATTCTTTTTGGGTTTAATACCATTAAGCTCTTGTTTGTTTGAGAAACAATCATTTACACTTGGCTAACATTTAAAAGTTAGGAAAAGCCTAAAATATTGTTCAATGACTGCTTTAAAAATAGTATTTATTTAACTATGTACAGTGGGTATGTCCAACAGTGATCGCCAGCAACCATATGTAGAAGCCATCTTTTACAAGTCCGAATTGTAATGCTTCAATGAAATCAGTTACAATGATTATTTATAACTCATGTTAACATGTTTTTGCAATAATTAACAATTGTTAGTATATACTAAAACAGTGGATAGCGTTAAAGGCACGCTCTGATTGACTAGTCAAACTCTGAATATCCTTTGATATTTACCACCGAGCAACTCGGAAAAAATGGCGTCCTGGATTGCATCCGTGACAAGTGAGGAAATCACTCAAATTAACGACGGTGGTGTATATTATCTCACTGTGTTAGTATATACTAAAACAACTATTCACCTCAGTGTCGGTGGTTAGCGGTGGATATTTACCTCGCCGCTTTGCGGCTCGGTTAATATCCACTGCTAACCACCTCCACTTCAGTGAATAGTTGTCAAGTATTGATAATGACTACCAGTAACAGAGAGTGCATAGTGATGAGTGTAGCTTTGCTGTTTCAGCCACTGTGGACCAAGTGGAAGGACATTGAGTATATATAATGATTACAATATAATAAAAGCTAAGATTGACCATGTGTGTATGCTGACATATACAGAAAGTACAGTCATGTAATTAAACTTTCTTTTTGCCTAATTTGTAGAAGGTCATGAATCCTTGGTGCCTAATGCTAGGTTAACGGCCTTTGCGTTTCCCACTTTGGTCTGAAAAGTTTCCTGAGCGAATCTGATCTGTAAAACAAAATTAAACAAAAATCCACATGTTTATCTACATGACACTTGTAAAGCTATTTCTTCACATTAGCCATTCAAACCATAATCAGTCTCTGAGATCACATATATTTACTCCTGACAGTAACTCAACTTCATCAACTACAGTATATCATTTTTTCGGTGAATGCTGAGTTGTTTCATGCAGGTATGATTAGTAATTTGATCTTATACAATTTGCCCATTGCAACTGAAGCAATGTGTACATTTAATACACAGATATCTTGGGACTTTAGGAGGCTTATTGGCATGGCAGTTTGAATACTTATTTTTGAATATTTCAGAGATCCCAGTAAGAGTCTCAGGCAGGTCACTGCGTTAAGGTGGAGACCCTGTCATTTCCTCGACATTCCCTTCCTTCTCTTTGAAAAAAGGCATTCCTGAGAGATTAGAGATTTTCTGGGAGGGGGGGAGGGGGAAGGAGTGTTGTGAAGCTCCCAATAGCATGCTGTTAATTGGCTTAAAATAACAGCATGTTGTGGTTACCTTCAAGCCACTCAACTCCATCAGAAAGTCCTTCTCCAGTGAGAGCGTTACTTGCACTACAAATTTAACAAATACCAATTAGAAATTTAAATGAAGAGACCAACTACACATTTAGTTGCACTGCATCCATCTCAAGTTTGTATTCATGAGTCAGTTGACAATTTATGCTAACTTGGTCATTATTTTCCTTTGATCTAGATAATAAATTTATGATGAACCTTCTCACAAAGAAAATGCAGATCAAACGATTTTAAGCCCCCCACTTCCCCCCTAAAAAGCACTAAGCCAATCAAAATTAAACTAGCGAAAAAAAAATGCAACTAAAAAATCAATTAAATTAGCTGCTCACCATATATGCCAAGGTTTATTCCTTATTGAATCTAGGCCCATTGCTTGTGAACACTGAAAAAAAATTAAAATTAAATTCACTAAAAAGTTCCCCAGAAGCCCACAAACCTGCTTGTTTACTGACCATTAATAATTATGAGAGTGTGTTCAGTAGTTTATGAGGTAAACTCAGCTAGAAATCAATTCAAATGTGACTCCTCTGCTGCCTTCAAAAATAAAAATTGTCTCAGCACAACTCTATCTCACTGATTAGTAATATCATGTTAATGTACAGTTTATGGTATTTTCTGTCTTATAGATTGGGTTTTTTTAAGAATGATGCTCTTTGCAATTGCATGTGTTACCTGTTCTTATTACATTGCATGCAGCGCATGGGCAAAATGAAGCATTAATCCTGTGTTCTGATTGGTTACCCAAGCAGGCAAGATGGGCCCATCTTGCCTACTCATTTGGCCGCACTGATTCCGTGCATGAAAAAAGTAGAAAAAGAACTACATTCGTAACTCTTGGAGAATTTCAGCACGGAAATGCAAAAAGTGGCAGAAGATAGTCAAAACAAAGAAAACAGAAACAACTCTTGCGAGTTTGTTGTGCTACAAACTCAGTTGGCTTTCTTTCCCGGCCCTCGAAGGAAACAAGTCATTCTTAACTCTTAATAAAGCAAAATCTTTTACAATATAATAAATCCTTTATTAACCAAGCTTGTTTTGTCAAGATGGCTGGATATTAGCCTTGTTCTTTTTTCACATTCTTATGGACCTCAACTTCATCTCAGTCCATAAAAATGCAAGAAAAGAACTCACCCAATATCCAGCCATCTTGACCTCATGCTTGGTTAATACCGCATGTATATTAAAAAACTAAATGTGACTCAAATACAGCTTCTTTAATTTGCTCACTTAGGTACAGATTCCTTAAGTGTATGTTCCTGGTTTTAAATTTAGCAGATAAGCAGAACTGGAAGGTTATCAAGGGTTCAATTTGTGGACTAAGTGTTGACTGCAGTCACCTACAGTTGAAAAAGCTTTAAACCATTTCAGGTGTTGCATCTTTAAAAACATCTCTACAAAATACCTGTACCTGTACTGGTGAAAGACCATTACAATCCATTTTGTTGGCAAAAAATAAAATAGGCACTCTTCTTGCAGCAATTTCTGAAAATAAACTATTATATTACTTGGCCATTCTGATAGTTGCATTGTCATAATAATGCTACTATCAATAATAAATCATCTGGATAATAAACTGCTATGACATGTTTCATTGAAAATTGAGTGCTGTTAAAGAAAATTCTATCCACACAATTTTTTTGGAAATTGATGGCAATGAAGCTTCACGAGAGAAGTTTATTTGAGGTTTACAACACTTACAAATGGACATATTAATACATGCCAGTATATACATGTTTATAGCAACTGTTTTTTTACATTTTCGTCATCAGTCTCACCTGGGTGCTGCAATAAAATATTTAACTCTTCTTTAGCTACCACAATTCTTAGTTGATCACTGCTGTCCAGTACAAATATTACTGCTTGAGCAGTTCTGATGTTAAAAAAAGAAAAAATATGATGTTGAAGTTAGGAAGATATACAAAGCATATCAGCAAGGCTTCATCTCCTTCTCCTTTGAGTTCTAACTGTACGACACATGAAGTGGCCCCATTTCAATATCCTAAAATTCATGAAAGGTAACCAAGTAGCCATCACTAGATCACCCTGGTGAATGAACCAAATTAACAAACTCCTTCCTCAAGTTTACTCCCAGAAACTAATACTAAATAACTTGCAGTAGGTCTTTTCATCAATGCTGAGTTTAAAATTTTAAAATCAGGTCATTTGTCAAATGGTTACTAGCAGACAGAACTTATTATTAAGAAAAAAAAACACAAAATTGAATATCATCTGAACATACTTATAATAGTGTTCCCATAGATTCCTATATCTTCCTTGACCAGACATATCAAAAACTGTAAACGTAAGGCTGCAACAGAACAAAATAAAAGCAAATATTTGATTTACTCGTTTTGATTAGTTTATCTATTTCCAAGTGATTTTAATACACGGAGAAAAATAATTTGTGTCATAGGCCTAATTAAAAACACGAGAAGACAATGCTTTCCCTCAAAAAGAAGGCAGGTTGGTTGTCAGAATATTATTTGGAGTACCACAAGTATTTGGTTATCTTTCAATGAGGAGAAATGAAATGGAAACACCCTAGAACTTCCTTCCGACCCATTAGAAATAGCAACCTTGAATATTTTGCATAGTGTAATATTCCATGTTACTGTAATTCAAGCCCGCAGTACGTATCAGATTAACATTTGGTGTAACTAATTTTTTGCACTAGAAGTAAAATTTACCTTAATTAAGCTGTGAAAAATGTAAGCCACGGCTGATTACACAATTTGATTTTAAGACGTGCAAAAATTCAGCTGCATTTAAGGAAGCCGACACGATAAATTAAAGTTTTTAAAAATAATTGTTTTCAGTTAGTGATAGAAGTATCCGAAGGTGTACAAATTGAAACCTTACGCTTTGTGAAAAAGGCTAAGAAGATATAAGCGAATATTATAAACTTGCCTTTGTGACATAAACTTTTCCACTGTAAATCCCACAGTTGGAACAATATCTTGTGCCTGAGACTGAATTAAGAAAAACAATTAGGAAAGTCCTTCTTCGATCGATCAATGGACGTAAGTACTTGTGATTCAGTTTACGATCCAAGTTCTATTTACCGCGGCAGGTTTCAGCTTGTTGATTATCGTTGTTTTGCCACTGTTATCAAGGCCGATGCAAAGGACATTAATTTCCTTCTTTCTGATGCCCATCCAGTTCGCAAGCTTGTCGAATAATCCCATAATTAATTACAACGGCGCCTTTCGTTATACACTACAAAGTCGGCACGGAATCTCAACATTTGTTTTAGAAACAAGATCTTAGTAACCACGCAGCTTAGTTCAGATGTCAGTTGTCGTAAAGTACTGGGAACTACTTTATTTGCGTCATACAAGAAATGGCTGCTTCGAGATGTAGTCCTACAAGAGATTTAGTCCGAGTTTTAATCAGGATTCACCGCCTTTCCTCCACTTTAAGTGGAACAGCAAGTAAGTGTATTTGATTTTCTGTTAATGTGTGAACAGCTGATCTTACCAACGAGATTTCTTTCACAATGGTATATACTTGATTCTAATTACTGATGCTAGAGTTACCGGTCTTAAAGTTGTTCACTCAATATGCTGACGAGGTTGACACTCTACAAGCTACAAATTCATGAACTTGCCATCCAGGGAACCCATAAATCCTGGTTGTCACATGACAGGCTGGGGCCAATTCTTGATTTCCTCTTTCGTCGATGCAAAATGTTTTGCCTGTCACCACTGAATCAAGTAGAATAAAGAAAAAAATCACACACTAAAAAAATCACATGTTTGTTAAAAAAACTCTCCTTGTCAGCTCAATGGGAAATGTACAGAGAACAGCATGGAGAATATACAAACTGATGAAAGGGTGTAAAGGGTTTTTAAAAAAAGAAATCCAAGAGTTCTTACTTACAAACTCTTGTGAATAGCATCTCTATAACACTGACTAGTATGTGGCTTTTGAGCAAGAGTCATGTACAATTCTTTGTTCTGTGACATAGGCTAAGGCCATCTCTAAGTAGGGGTTCATTAAATGGGTCTGGGTAGTCATCCAGGGTTAGAAGAGGGTAGCAAATGAGGGGGTGATCCTGGTTCCATTTAATGAACAAATTTTTCAAAATTAGCATAATTATGCATACTTTGTACTTTAAACAATATTTGATCTCATGAATTGTAAAGGGAAAACTTGAAATTTCACAAGAATTAAGCTTTTCTTTAAAATTAATGCATCACTTATTAATTTTTTAGCTTAGTTGCTTGTCATATTTAAACCCTTTGGCACCCTCTTAGAAGATTTTCATGTGGCAGGGCACAACACTAACTTTTCAACTTACTAGCCAAGTGGCTAGTGACAACTTAGATCTTATAGCAATTTCAGTTTGTTTACTAGCCAAACTGGCAGGTGGATATCGAAAACCACCAGCAAAAACTGAATTTCTAGTAGTCTTTGGCTAGTTGGCTACAGTTAGTTTTGAGCCCCATGTGGGGCAGGCAACTTTTTCTTTTTCCACCCACTTGCTCAAAGGGGAAAAGCTCCACTTAGTTACATTTAAAAGTATTTAAGAAGTGGCCAAATTTAAGATAAAGTTCTTTTCATTATATCAATATTGAATATCATAGTGAACATATCTGTTATATTATAAATTTCACGGCATATTCCAAGAAATATCAAGAGATAGAATCTAACTTTCATTTCATTTATTCATTTCAGATGACTTTCTGCGTGTACCAAACCCACATGTTAAGAACCAAGAGGCAGGCCCTCTCAGAAAGTATGATGAAACAGTTAGAAGTGGAAAGTTAAAGCTTGATGGACATCAGAGGCAAATTGTTGAGCACCTACAAAGATTGTACAATGATGTAGTTAGTTATAAGCCCACAAGTAGTGGGTTCTTTAGTAAGGTATGTTATTAAATGAATTGAATGAATTTTAATTGTCTCTGTTCTCACAAACTTTCAATGAAATATCATATATTGCTCCAATGTATAGTGTTCAATTTCTTATACAGTTTTGAGTGGTATTTACTTGGAAGGACAGCTTGCTTTGTCAAATTATAGAGCATGGATATTTGAAATTTCATATCCTCAATTTAATATTAAATCTACACCAACTCCTTTATCTCTCACATTACTTCAGGTATAGCTGCGATCAATATCTCTGATCACTTGCCTATCTTTTGTATTCTTAAATCAGAAATTAAGAGAACAAACACAAGACGTTATTATCAAGACTTCTCTAACTTTCCTAAAGAAAATTTTATAATGGACATCAGCCAGCTTGATTGGTCACTTATTCTCCACCCCTCTAAAACTCTTCTTGCAAAAACTAAAGATGCAATCCAGCTTATTGTCAACAAACCTGCTCCAATGAAGTTGGTTTTCCTGGGCTAAGCAGAAGCAAATGACTAAGCCTTGGATAACTAAAGGTATTCTAAAATCCATCAAATTTAAACATAAGATGTATCGATGTCATTTTCTTAGCTGTGACTCTGAAAAAGTTATTGCATACAAAAAATACTCCAATACCCTATCTTGTCTTATTTCCAAGAATAAAAAAGATTATTTCCAATTCTAATTTAAAAGATTCAAGAGTAATTTAAAATCCACCAGGAAACTTATAGGAAAACTTATTCAGAGGAAATCCAAAGGTCAGTCATATCCAAGTTGGATTGTATATGGCATTAAGACCTTCACCAATCCAGTTGATATTGCTGAGCAACTAAACACATATTTTCTAAATGTTGGTCCAAGCTTAGCTAGCAAACTGGATGTTGATCCTTCTATAAGCCCTACTCAGTATATAAATTGCTCCCCTTCTTCCTCCTTTGTTATATCCCAAGTGACAGAAACCCAAGTCTTTGTTTGCAGGTTTGGATGAAAACAAATCCTACATATTAAATATACCTAACAAGTTTATTAAGTTGGCTGCAGACCATCTTGCAATCCCATTTTCAAGAATCTATAATGAATCTATCTTGACTGGAATTGTTCCAGATATCTTTAGAGTTTCAACCCCAATCTTTAAAAATGGAAGTGCCTGTGACCCTGGCAATTATAGGCCGATAGCTGTTATATCTTCCTTTAGTAAAGTCTTTGAAAAGTTATTATATAACCAACTGATTTCCTTTCTTGAGACACACAATATTCTATTCAAATACCAATTTGGTTTTAGGAAGGGCCACCCCACCGAACATGCAATTTACTAGAAACTATTGACAACCTCAAAATTGCCTTGGACCAAAATATGCTTACAGTACATGTGGTATTTTCTTAGACTTCTCCAAAGCCTTCGACACCATTAACCTTAGAATCTTGGTAGACAAGATGTTTAAATATGGTGTGCTTGCAACCCCATTGAGATGGTTCTCAAGTTATCTAACTAGCCATCATCATCATCATCAATTTGTGAAAATTGGTGATGTAGAGTCTTCTCCTAAACTTATTGCTTGTGGAGTCCCTCAAGGCTCAACCCTTGGTCCCCTCCTGTTTTTACTGTATATAAATGATCTTCCAAAATCATCAAGTAAACTTTTATTTGGAATCGTTGCTGATGACACCAACATTTTCTTTCATCTAAAAATATTGCAGATTTAGAATCAACTGTGAACGAAGAACTTATGAATGTCATAAAATACTGTAATGTGAATAGATTATCCATTAATTTTAAAAAAAAACTAACTACATGATTATTAGATCACCTAAGAAAAAATTCTCTCTTAATCTAACAGCTTGTAATATTGAACAATTGAAACATACTATTAAATACTTAAAATAGGTATATTTATTGATGAGAAACGAAAATGGGATGCCCAAATACAGCATGTTAACAATCGAATAGCAAAAAATTTGGCTATCCTTAATAAGCTGCTTTTGAAAATTCTTGAAATTGAGGAGATGAATGTTGACTTGCGCTACCTTGACCTTTCTAGCTTATATTTGTATTTCAACTGATTAGCTTTCTCTTTGACCTGTTAAAAACTCCCTTGTGTGACTGGCCCAGTTAAAACCTTTAACATGATTATCACTACTATTATTTATTATTTATTTTTATTTGCTCATTTATTTATTTATTTATTTCATTGTTGCGTGTGTGTGTGTGTGCGTGTGTGTATGTATGTGTGAGAGCCTATACAGTGTCTGCTTAGGTACCCCACCTAGAATAGCTTTGCTAACTGCAGGCTACAAAAGCCTTTATTTCTTTAATTTAAAAAAAAATAAATAAAGTCAAAGTCAATGTTAAGCTTCGCTACTATGTGTCTGTTACTTCTCTGAGACAACTCTTTTACAACCTTGTCTATCCTTACATTTCTTATGGTCTGGCAAGTTGGGGATCAGCATGCCAAACCAGACTTCAAACTGTAAGGAAAATTCAGAATAAAATTAATGTATTCGTTCCATATTATTCGCTTCCCAAAGAGAACATGCTTCCATCTACTATAAAATGCTTGAACTGAATAATCTTGATAATATATATTCAACATTAAGATAGCATCTCTAGTTTATAAACTCAAATACCTCCCATGCAATACTCCTGTAGCTCTTCATGAATTGATTGCACCCTCAAGTGGAGTACATAACTATAACACTAGATATGCCTCAAAAGATAACTTATACAGACCAGTGTCCAGAACTAACTACGGCCTCTCAAGCTTTACATCCATGGCCTCTAGAGTTTGGGAAAAAGTACCTTACAGTCTGAAAATTTTGCCCTTTTCTTCCTTTATTCCACAGTATAAGTGCTACCTTCTTGCCAACCAAATGTGATTTTTTTTTGTCTCTCCTTCATATGATATTCACTATGATTATTTATATTACTGTATTTTATATATATTCATGCAGTTAGGTATATAATTGTACAATCTATTGAGTATCAATAATTTATTATACAACTCGGGCAGTCAGAGGGCCAATAACTAAAATCAACCAATCAAAATGCTCTATTGCCGGTCAATATTCTCTCAGTATTGGACCGGGCACTGTCCTGAATGATACCGCACTTGTGTCCCTTTGAACTTCAGTTGTATAATAAATCTCTTATTAACCAAGCTTGCTCGGGACTGTACTGGAAGAATATCGGCCCTTGGTCTATTTGTACGGACCTCACTGCGCTCGGTCCGTACTGTCAAGACCTTGGGCCAATATTCTCCCAGTACGGCCCTCGTGCTTGGTTAATAAGATAACTATTTATTGCTTAATGTATTACTTTTTATTTTCCTTTTTCCCTCTTTGTAAATCTTAAATATAGTATGCTAGCTTTTAATAAAGATTTTTCTCGTGAAATCATTTGGAAGTGACCATCTTGAAAGCATTTGCTACTATGGTCACTATGCACTTCTCCTTTTCCTACAATATGTAAAACTGTGTTCTCTCTATTTTCTCCTTTTATTTTATCTCACTTGTAGTTAATGATGTAAATAGTGCAAAATAAAGATGATGATGATGATGATGATGATGATGATTCTCTTTTTAGCTCTGATCAGGCAGTTAAAATTTATTTACTTTCTTGGACAGGTTTTTGGGTTGCAGAACAATCAAGAAACTCCTCTAGGTCTTTATCTTCATGGCAGTGTAGGTGAGAAATGGTTAATAAATACCTGGTTTAGCAAGGGCTGAACAGCACTTTGTTCTATGATACATGTAAAAAAAACTTGCTAATCATTATTAATGTAAAGTTACTCTATTTATTTTTATATTTTATACATACCTAGTTTAGAATAGCTTTATATGACTATCAAAAGCAACTGGGGATTGCATTTAGTTTTGTATTCATTTTGATTAGTCTTTAAAATTCTTACCTATTTCTCAACCAATAATGCAATACTAAACCAATTTGGATGTTTCACTTGACTGTGCATTCCTAAGATGGAGTTCATGAAGACATAGTATACCTGAATCAAAGCTATTATAAGCTTGTAGTGGTATTCATCTGTGATTGTTTTTATTTAATTACTTTTGATTGGTTTAATTTACTTTTCAGTTAATTTTGTAAGGTGCCCTCAGTTCATCAATTAGGGGAAGTTTTTGTTTTGGAAGATGTTCCTAAGCATATCTTACACTGATTTTTTTAAAACAACTTGGTTTGTTCAAGGCTGTGGCAAGACAATGTTAATGGATTTATTTTATGATGAAGTTCCTGTGGAGAATAAACAAAGAGTTCATTTTCACTCATTCATGTTGGATGTCCACTCAAGTATGTATTGATCTTTGTGTGTTTGTACCACCCACAGCATCTTTTCTGTAGTACTGTACATCATCTCAACTGTTACAATATTATTTATGACCTATCTAAAGTTCAGGGCCCAGTTGTATAAACGGGTGGATATTGCCATCCATCAGATAAATTGCCATCCAGCGGATAATTAATAGAAAAACACTATCCACTGGATAAAGATTTATCCAGTGGATAGCACTATCCAGCCTTTGAACAACTGGGGCCAGACTTAGAAGCTGCAAAGATATATTCAAAATGCTGTTGCTAATTCAGAGTTTTCAATTATTTTTGGTCAGTGAAACTAATCTCTGAAACTGACATCATTAGAGAAAAGATTTAACTTTTATTAGCTGCCTATTTGTCAGTTTTTATCAACTACTTCAAAACATTAAAACACCTGCTTATTTTCATCATAATGATGTACAGATTACATGTATTTCTTACAGATAATTGCAAAACTTGTCTTTCTCAGACTGAATATTTGATACATATTTTGTGTGCACAATGTAGGTATTCACAAATTAAAAGCCAGTCTTCCTCCAAGAGACCCTAAATCCATACGGGCACAGCCCTATGATCCCATCCCTCCTGTTGCTGAGCAGATCAGTTTAAAGTGGTGGCTTTTGTGTTTTGATGAATTTCAGGTTACACTTCTTACTTGGATAGTTATGCCAATTGCCATCTTTCTTTCTTGCAGAGGCTAGTTTGGGACACTTTTTGTTGACTCTTTTCAGGAAGAAATCATTTTACAAATTTTCCTTATGTTTTTACTTGATATTCAGAAAACTATGAAAAACCATATAATTTTTTAATACACAGTGTATTTTGTTTCATGGAAGAGGACAGTTGGGCATAATGAAACTAAGCAGCAAAAGAAAATTGATTTGTAGTATCAAGGTTTTGCTTAGGTGTGTTCTCAACTTTTTTGTCATATTAGTCATCACATTTCAGGATAAGATCAAAATATTCATGGTTTTCTTAGTGTTTTAACACAGTAAGACACCATGCAACAAAAAAAGAAGTATTATTTAGAGGATTTTGTTATTACATCTATTTGTGATAGTAAAAGTCTCACACTCTCAAAGAAATTGACAGTCATTTATTGAGAGAATTAACCATCAGATTTTGGAAAGGAAAGGGTTGCTAAGTACTTTACATGTATTTTTGACAAATTTATACAAACTTTCTTCTTATTCATAGGTGACAGACATTGCAGATGCAATGATTCTAAAAAGACTATTCACAGCTCTGTTTGAACAAGGAGTTGTTGTGATTGCAACATCCAATAGACATCCAGATGGTATGCAGCTGCAGAAAGATAACTGTGTCTATTTTTAAATTTATTTTATTTAAAACGAGATGTTAAAAAGAGATCCCAGAAGGTCTGAACCCATAACTCTCTGTGCACAGAGGTAAATAGCCAGGATTTTCCATCATGGGGGTCCTCCCACACAAGTATGGTCTGGAATACCTTTTTGGGTCAGTTTGTTTTGTTATTGCAAACTGCCACTTTTTGTGGACATAGATGGAGTCCTCGGCAGCTTTGGACCTTTGCTAGCCACACCTTGAATCAAGAATTTTTCAGCATTTCATTAGAATTTTTTAGCAGTTTGCTGTATTCATTTTATTTCTTGCACAGCATTACTGGTGGCAGCTATTTTGATTTCAAGGATGAATATTCACTTATTTCCTTTTTACTTTCATTGGTTAGACTTGTACAAAAATGGCCTTCAAAGAAGCAACTTCATTCCTTTTATACCTATTCTTAAGGTGAGTAAAAACTCTTCTGAGCATCTGAATCCATTGTTACTCAGAACTAGAATCTCCAAGCCTTACCCTAATAATTGGAACAATTGGTTTACTTCAGCTGTAGATGACTTCCCAGAAATGATTGTAGATTTCTCAAGATGACAGTGATGGTCTGAAGAAAACCTGTATCTGAAAATAATTCTTGGAAGTTTATCACTCCTTCCTATCCTAAAAGACCCACCTACGGCCTTTGAAAATCAGTTAAATGCAGAATAGTCCCCAGTCCTCCATTGTTTGACATCATGATTCATGCACTAAACAATCTTTTTGTCAAAACGATTTACATTAATTGTTTCTATAGAGTATGTATGCATTTCGTTTTGTTCAATAAAAAGACAAATGATCCCTGACTGACTTTTTCCCTTTTTTTTTTCCTTTTTGTCCATTATTAGAAACACTGCAAAGTTCTTTGTCTTGACTCTGGTATAGATTATCGCAAAACAGGTGTGTGCGTCTCAACACTCTCTCGGAGAGTTCTAAAGAAATACTGTGTACTTGGCTCAAAGTTAAGTTATTCGCGAATACTTTCATATCAAAGAGGTTGACAGGACTTTTTGCTGGAACAATAGATAATTAAAAATAATTTGTATCAGTATGAGATTATTTTTGATTATTGATGGCGACGTTTCAACTGCGTAGTGCTAATTTTGGGTTAACAATTCTAACGGTCGACATGCTCATTACATTTTCGCTTAGTCACGGTGGTAGGCTTAGATCTATGGACTTCACTTGGTTTTAACAGTCTTTTTCATCATTACCTTTTTTAATGTACAGATATGTCCTTTATTGGAAAGGTATTTTTCAGGTAGGTTTATAACTTCTGCTTCTTTATATTAAGTGCATCGGGATTTCTCCACAATTGTCCTTCCAGTCTTTTGGTGATCAAGCGCTGGAATCAGTATATTTCTTTTTCTTTTTTTTTTTTTGTGGTTTTAGGAGCTCTGGGTTGTTTGATATCGATTTAATGATTGATTTAATGGTTGGCCGATTGATTTTTTTCTATTTATTTACTTTCTCCAGTTCTCTTGGAAAAGAGACAACCAGTGAACTGGACTGGATATTTGCTAATTTGACTCAGCAACAGAGAAATGGTACGTTACCCAAACGCAAGGAACCCTTCTGGGTCAAAGAGTTTTGGGTCTGAAGACGTTTGCCGACAAGTTAAAAGTTTGTTTGCCAATCTAATTTCTCAATGACTTGCGCTATTTTATCGAAAAACGGCGATGGTCTGGGAAGAAACTATGACATAGAACCACTTACTCTCGCTAAGACTCCCTCGGTCTTTGACTCACGTGCCTTTCTGGTAGTCTTCGCTAACTTGATTAGTAGTTCCTTTTGTTAGTAACCAGGCTCAAGCTAGTCGAAGGAAGCCAATGAGAGGAGAGGATAGTGCTTTGAGGACCGAAATAAAGTCGACCAAACTGCCTAAAGCGCGGGAAAACATGCGCGACCGAATCGTGATTGGCTTTAGTTTTACTTCAGATTGGTTGAAAGAGTGGTGCAAGTTTTCTGGACGAATCACAAGGCTAAGTGAAGCAAAACCAATATGATCCAGGATTACTTTCGAAACTCTGTTCAAAACTGCGTTATAATTACGTTTTACCTCCACTCTATAACGCAAAGTATGTGTTGTTCCGTTACAGAAAATGCTGAGTGTAGCCCTGGTCCTAAAACAATTCAAGTGCTTGGTACACGGATGTTGAACGCTCCCCGTACTTGTGGAAGAGTCGCAGACTTTACATTCGAGGAACTTTGTGCACAGGTATTGCCGGAGAAACGTCTTTAAAAGGAGAAAACCTCTGTTTTAGAATAGCTCTTGCTGTGAGTTAAGATCAGAAAATTTCCTCGAAGAATGTCATTTTTAAGTAGTCGTAGCCAGCGGAAAACCTCCTTGTTCTACAATGGGTGGCAAAAGCAGTCGGCACGCCTCCACTATGTTGGTGGTCAGGAACCCTCCACTCAACGCAATGAAGATAAATCTCGTAATTTGTCGCCGATGATAGCTCCGCCAATCAGAACTCAGGATTCGCTTCACATTGCCCACGGGCGCGGCCAGCTTTATATCAAGAAAGTGTATCGAAAACTTAAGGCTTTTTCACTTGATAAATAATTGTGACCCTTTTTTTTTACCAGTGATTCAGAGGAGAATTTCTATTTTACGTTTAACGATTTTTGCTGTTGTTTTTGTTGTAGCCCTTGGGAGCTGCGGATTATTTAGCCCTGTGCGAACACTTTGATTGCATTATTTTGCGCGACATTCCTAAACTGACAGTTTTTCAAAAAACAGAAGCGAGGAGGTTCATTACGCTCATTGACGCACTCTACGATAAGAGGGTAAAGAAAGAAAATAACACTCATCCGCATGGCTCTCATAGAGTGATTAAGCGCCGCCTGTATGTGAAACGGCAAGAGTGACCTCGTGACCACGATTTTCCCCCCATTTTTTCACGTTTGCTAGTTGCGCTTTGCCCTTTCTACGTGAAAGTAAACTTTTTCGCGTTTGCCGTGTACGTGAGACTTTCTTCCCTTTTTCTCTCGCAGCTTAGAAGTTAATTGCCGGAAAAAAGTGCACCATAACTATTTCCTGTAAGTCATACAAGGGCAGATGAAGTTTCATGCCTTTAAATGCTGCACTTTTCTTCATCAGACAGCTGCAAGAACTCGCGTGAACTCATGAGACGGCATCTAGTTCATATCGAATTGACGAGCTTAGGCGAAGTCAAAGCAGCAAGCTAAGGTTCCCATTATTTTTTGCGTGAAACGTGAAAGGGCAAGCTGACGTTTGCCATTTCACGTAAACTCGGTGCTAAGTCTCTCTAATAACTATTTCCATAAGCGGCTGCCGATGGTGTATTAGGCGGCTGTGTTCGAAAAGGGGCTGTGAGGCAAAACACGAGAGCCTGCTCGCGGGCTTAACAGATGGCGGTAAGCGATCTGCCAACCGCCGCCCGGTTAGCTCATGTTGTAAAGCGCCGAACTGCCGTGCGAGATATCGAGGCTTCAAGCCCCAGACCGGACCAGTACTTAGGGTCTTAAAATAACTGAGGAGAATGTGATGCCTTTGCTATGATATCTACAAATGGTCAGACATTCTAGTCTTCTCGGATAGGGAAGAGAAACCGTAGGGCCCCTTCTGCATTTTTTCTGCACTGGTTAGCAGGGAAGGTTAAAGAATCCACACACTTATCGTAAAGAGTAGGGAACGTAGCTCCCGGTGTTGTGGTCTGGCCTGTTTACTGGAAATTGGGGACATCTGTTAGATTTGCCTTTATTCATTGTAAACTGCTTCACGCAGTCTGGTAAAGTCCCCCGCACAGTGTTGTAAGAATGGCCCTAAAAAGCCCCATGGGGAGTGGTCAACTAACCTATGTATGTATGTGGTTGGTAGGCCGCCGGTAACCGACTTTTATTGAAACTCTAAACTCCTGCAGCCGGGAATACAGAAACCTTCAATAAGCTAGGTGAAGATTTATACTTTATACAAATTTGTCCAAACAACTACGAAAAATGAGCGCGGAAACATCGAAAAATACGAAAAGGGGGAGAACAATTTTGACAAGTTTGTCTCTTTTCGTTCTCCAGGTTCGTCTAATATGTTCAGCGGCCACCCCAATCGGTCAGCTTTTTAACGCAACTCCTCTGACCACAAATGACGACGAGTTCAAACGAAAGCTAATGGACGACCTCGACCTATCAGCTGTAAGCTTTTTGTATGTTTGTCTGTGTACAGTGTAAACTAACGTAGAGATTGGTTCTCTGTAATATAAGTTGTACCCTGCTCTTTGCAAAGGAGGCGCTCCTTTTGTTGTTTGGCCAGAAACTCCAGTCAGTCGGACTGAAGTGATAAGTGTAAGGGAAATGATGTTGGCTGTTTAGCATATATATGGGTGGGAAGATAAACTGACATACCGTGTAGTTTCAAGTTTTCACAATATTCCGTCTTACTTTTTGAATCCAGTTCCTTAAATTTCTCCGTTTATGATCAACCATAAGTCACTTAAAGGGTAATTGTAATTAACCAACCTCGTTAAAAAACTAGTGTTACTTTTCAAAGTACTTTTGTGGATCACACTGAATCTACATTTTCATGTCATGACTGAAGGTCACTCTCTACTTTTTGTCCGTACATGCTAGTGTTTCCTATCGTTGTATTTTACAGTCCGACGCAAACTCAAGCGCCATCTTTACGGCCGAGGAAGAAATCTTCGCATTTGAACGCACCATTTCACGACTCACTGAGATGCAGACCGAGCAGTACTGGAACTGGCAAGGTTTCCGTAAATCGTGGGACGTGTTTAGCAGTTGACATGGCGCGTTTTTCTAGCTTAACTTGATATATTCGTGTCCTTTTTAACCTTTCCCATCCTTGGTCATCTTGGTTCCTGTGTGGTTTAACCCCTTAAGTGTTTCCCCACCCCAGCAAACGGCCATTGTAAGGTTTTATTCTATTTACAAGCTATTCTCTCTTTCGTGACATGGTAATCAGAAGATCGTGACGTACCATCTTTGATGCTCCAGTTCCCTTCCCTGCCACTACGTTGTGTCACGCAACGCCTTGTTTCCTCCATTGTCTTGCGTGACCAATCAATGCCTTTCAAGGAGGCTGGTTGTTTTTTTTTCAACATCCGGTCGTATCAATGTGAATTACTTAACTCATGAGCTCAAAGGGAGCAAATAGACCCTCTCACTTATTACTCTATTAGAGGTGCTATCCTTATATTGAAAGAATTTGTGTACAGTCGGTTGAATGTGGCAAGTTTTAAGTTGCGCTTCAGCATGGCCGCGGCGTTGACGCCGCTGGAATATATCTTTATGTTAGTTTTAAAGATAGATAAATTATTAATCAAAGCACGGGAAACAATAGAAATGGGAACGTTTGTAATCAAACAATGTTCTGTGCAGTAGGTTCTGGGTTTTAAAAATTATAACTCATATTTTTATTTATAATTTATAAGTTATTGATAATCGCGTTTCGCTGTAACGCGCAGGCCAGCTACTTTTGTATCCAAAGTTTTACAGTTTCTACAATTTCCCTGTGAGAATGAAAGAGGAAAATTCTATTCGTGGTGTTGATAAGAAAAAATTTACCAACCAAATGATTAAACTCAAACTAAGCATGGGGCTTTTATCCAACCTCGTTCCCATGGCCTTTTCCCTATCTTGGGGTTAGCCAAGTTCGCGGATATTGTTTAAATCAATTAACCAATCAAAGTGACGATTTCATCGGCCGATGCCTTTTCCCGCCCCACCCGCAAATAAGGGAAAAGACGATGGGAACGAGGTTGGCTTTTATCGTCACACTTGTTTTCCTGCAACGAAATGTTCGGTCGCATGTGAAACTTCATATGATGTCTGATACACCCGGTTTGAATCAGTGTATTCAAGGATTCGACCGTAAAATTTGAGTGATCTAACAGAAGGATTTTTCCTTTTATTTAGCTATCACTATATGATTAGCTAAAAACGTTGTTGGGAGGAAGCTTTGAATAACTGTAGAGATACATACAGGTTTTCACTTCACTTTTAGCGTCATTTCATGAATACATCATCTTTCCTACTTTTCATAGGGTGTTCGGTAATTTCACAAACCAATTTTTTAAGCAGAGCACAATTTTTTTCTATTTATCTTGGTACACAGGAAGGGAAAGATAACACGTTCTAAGGTTCGATTAACTGTGGTATCAAATTCGGGAAAACCCTCCCTTCTATCGGAGATAGAGTAGCACGGAATAAGGAAAATAAAAAAAGACCACAATATTTATTATCTTTCCACAGGCTTTCTGATATTCCATTGCGAAGGAAGACTGTTCAAATGTCAAACTTAACCTAGATAGAAGCCCGATTTCAGGGCTCCTGTTTTAACAAATAAGAGCCTCTAGTTACCCACTCATGACAAACTCTGAAATCTAACTGAGTTTTTCCCGTGAAGATTGAAAAAGATGTGGCTTATGATTGAAGTATACTTTTAGAGATCCATGAGCAGGCGTTTGACAGAGGAGAACTGGACAAAAACTTAAGCATTAATCGTCCATTCTTTCCTGCGCTTGCCCAAATTGTTCGGTGACTGATTATACGGTCCCCGATAATTTGAGTCCAGAACCTCTGAGCCGAGAAGGCTGTAGCAGCTGAAGCAATTTCGGTTTACTCTAGTTAATAATTTGGACTTTCAATTGAAAATTATCGCGAGAAGCCTGCGTTTCTTTTCTCCCGATAACTCGAGCCCGGATTTCACCACCGTGACTTGTAAGTTTTAGCCGACAGATGTCTTTCCAGGAAGGAATGATATTTCAACGAGTGAAAAATGACGATAATGATAGTCAAAATCTTCAAATGTGGCGGTTTGGGCTGAAAGACATGCTCGTATTTTCACGTTAGATCTTCTGTATCCATTGTAATGGAAGTTGTGTCGATGCTATCACTTGGAACTTTACTCGCAACTCTTGAAATTGGTGTAATTCCTTGGAGACTCTCCAACCTGAAAAACCAAAGCTCGCTTGTAACGTGTTGAGTTTTTTTTTTTTTTTTTCAGTGAAATCAGCGTAAATCCCTTTACACCGTGCTCATGTTGCGCAACAGAAAACGTTTTCGACTCCCGATTAGAACTCTCGCTTCTTTAACACAATCCTGCTATAATTTTCAGGCTTACCTATATTCTATTAACCTTCTTACACCCACCCCCCGTGTAGCATCTGAATCAAGCAGATTTTAACTTTTAAGTAGTTCTGAAAGTGTCCTCGAGCCACCGAAAAAGAAGTCTTGCAAAAAAAAAAAAAAGGCGCAAAATAAGATGCTATAACTAAAAAGCTCCACGTGCGAATCAATGGTCAATTTGTCATCATTTTCAGACGACGTATTCGAAATCCCAACCAAGAAATATCTATCGAGCAACTTTGTTTTCTCGACAAGCTGAAATATTTGATTACCGCGTTTCTTTCTTTGTTGCTTTCCTGCTTCTTGAACAGAAACTCGCCGAAAATAAGTTGCAAGCCGAGAATTTTAAGTCATCTTGAATATTTAAACCGGCTTTATTTCGGCGATATTATCGAGGAGAAGCTTTAACAGGAAGTCGCAAAAAATTAGTTCCAAGCAGGAATTTTGAATAGTTCTGTTAAATTGAAGTAGTTTGTTCCATAGTATTCGTAAATCCATCGAATAAAACTCTCGAAAATTTTATTACAGCGTGGTATTAATTCTAAGCCGAAAATGTGGAAGAAGTATTTACTGTTTTGGAAAGGAACTCACTCAATATGCAAATAAACCTTTGTACTTATCATGTCTGATCTCATTAGTTTATTCCATCTTTCTCGCTGTTAGCATTGTAGATATTGTCTTTTGTAATCATTGAATTACTTTTCTATCAGCGCTATCCTTTGTTTTGTGTCACTTAAGCTAATTAATATTCTTAATTGTGTTGGCGTTTTCTATTTTTTGTTTTTCATGATTCTAAGCACAAGTGACTTCGGCGTTTGCTCAAACCACGATAATTCCGGCTGAAAATCCGAGAAATGTAAAGCAATACAAAATGTAATTTCTTCTGGTTAGCATTCGAAAATGACTGCCTCTGGTAAGACATTTGAGCGACGATTATTAGAATCTATTTCTTTTTTCCGATTCTCAAAAGACGAACCATTTCTGACAATATTCTGATGTCCAAGGCTTGCAAAGCGCGAGGGTCAACGCATTTTATTGAACTGAAGTTCTTTTTCTGGTAAGCTTTCCCTGTGAACTTCGATATAACTGCTGCGCTGTTTCACTGTTGATGACACAATACCAGTATTAGCTTTTATCTTTGGCCCATGCCATAGTGTACTATTTATACGAAGAAACTTTGAATCCGAATCGAATCCTCTGCTTTCGGTCAAACCCTTAGGATCACATGGGTGTTTTGTTGTCATTCAATTCACTCCTACGGGAAATAGTCAGTTTTCCCAGAGATACGTGTTTTGCTGGAATTAGGTTCCCCTAAAAATAGATTTACTTTCTTTACAATAATCGAGGTAAATGCTTAAAATAGATCTTTAGATTGCCAAACATGACAAAACCTGATAAATTCTCGTCAGCCAAACATGGTTCTATCTCGAGCTCTGATAAATTTTCTTGAATGTACCAAAATATTAGCAGAAATTTGAAAGCAATCTTTATTATACCCACGAAATGGGGTCAAAAATCATCCGTAAATGTTCCTTAATTTCTTATGGACTAAGCCTTGTAAAATGAATCTTTGTTAGATGTCTGATTTCTGTCAGTTTCTGGCGACAAAACAATAGTTCATGTCATTTCCGAAACAGCGTATGGTTTTATTTTATATCTGACGCGAGTGTGAAAGCCATGGTAGGTAATGATGTGACGAATTTCCTAAGATGATGATGTCGTCACTAATATGTTATCTTACTGTTATACCATTGAGTGTACAGTTGTTTTGAACGATCCAGAAAGAATGAATTAATTATGTAGAATAGTGAACAGGAAATATGAAGGATTCGTTAAAACTATGACATATTTCTAACATTTGCATATCCCGCGAAGGAAAATGTAAAATTTAGACTACTGCTAGCATCCCTGTGTACATGTGTTTTATAATTTCGATTGGGTTCAAATCTAAAATTATCACAGTTAACATTTTAAATTTTCTTTTTTTTTTTTTTCTGCTGATAAAAATAAAAGTTCAAAATTATCTTATGAAAACTAGAAACTGATAACAAGAAGGAAGGCACGCAGATGGCTTTGAGAAATAGAAGACTATAATTCTCAAACATGACAATCGTTTTGCGTGGAATTAGGATGTTTTTCGATGCAGAAAATAGAGCAGGTATTTCGATTAACCTGTATACAATGCAATCAATAATAAGATTTGCGGTTACTGATTCCATGTGAGGACCGTGACAAATACAACACTTTTCAAATAATGACACCCACTGTGAAATCTTTTTGTTTTTAACTACTATGTCAAATGTCGTGTTGCACAGCGCGTATGTATTCTGTGATGCTTTCATCTTCGCTTGTTTTGTAATAGTTCGTGTTTTATTTTTTTCCCATTGAGAAACATAAAACTCGACTTTCGCCAAGACACAAAATTTAGAATCGGAATCCGCCTCTTCTTCCCCCAAAGAGAAAGGAAAAAATTTTGGAATGAAATTTACGTGTAAAAAACAAGTCACAGATAAAATATTGGCGAGATTATTCTCGCGGAGAGAGACAGCTGTATGTGGACATACAAAATGCGTATTAAAAAATTGTGCTTTAGTTCTTGATTAATTCAGTTTCGCATGGTGTTTCTATTTTCTTTCCTATGGTTTGAGCTATTTGATTGTCGCGCAAATTGCTTGACGCTACAAAAACGATTATATTTGCTTTCGAACCAAGATTTTGACGTGATTGCCTGAATGTCATGTCGATAGACGGACTTGAGCATGACGAAAGTTTGCAATCATGCTATTCGACTTGCATTTGCTGATGATGGAAACCCTTCACTCAAGCTGTATTTGCTTTCGTGTTTACCATTCTTGTTATCAGCGAGATGGCTGCTCGAAAGCTTTCGGATTATGCCGAATGTAATGACGAACTCCGACAAAACAACGAGCATAAACTCGTTATGACATCTCATTGAAATTTTGAGATATAATGATTAAAATGTAAGGATGTGACGGTGTTGATGGAACAACACGCCATTGGAACGTTCACCAATCGACTCAAGGATTCTGTCGGTGTTTGTGCGTCTTCGTCGACGTCACACGGAACACTTACGTCACGAGTTCGGGTGAGGTCGTCAAATGCTCGTGAATTTTCGCAAGTCAGCAGACAACTTCTGTTATGAATTCTAATTTGTATTGTTCATGTTTATCATTATAAATAGGAACTCTCTTCCTTTCCAGTCATCAGTAGTTGCGAGGTTCTTCAAGGAAAGTCTCCTTGGCAAGCGGGCTTCAGATGCATGTTATATTTCACTGAACGGACCGTGTTGAGTTAATCGACAGCAAAGATCAGCCGAATATACCCTGAACGGCAATTCGCGTGTAAAATTGAGAATGAAGAACTGATGCTTTGCTCATCTAAGAGTGAAGGGCAGATCCCGAATGCATTGAGGGAGAGCGAGATGACGGGGGAATTTAACAGCACCACAAACGAGGGAAATGTGAAGAGGAAAAACATGTCGTTTTTGACTCCAGAAATCTTGATCACCTACGAACGCGAAGGACAGCAGGCCAAAACTTACGAAGAGAGATACAAAGAGGCGGCCTTGGGAGTTTTTGGTACAAAAAGGTCCCTAACACATTTGACTGTACCGACCACACTACTACAAACAGACAAGCAGGCAGTTATAAGGCAATACCATTCAGACCCGTGCATAGCAAGCCTTGGAATTCTACAGTGATAATGGGGAAACTTAGAAAATTGTTGATTGCTGTGATGATGACTGATCAAAGGCAAATATTTCAAGGTCGCTCTTTATAAGTGTACGTCTTTCCGCGAGCTTTGACACCACTGAACAGATCACATATGGTATAATTACCATACATGCTAAGAAAAAATAGAGATGTTTTTCTTGGCATTAACTAGTTTTATGCGACCCGCCGGTGTGCTTGAGGTAAAGGTGGCCATATGTTTTAATTTGTTGCTGCCTACTGTGTTGTATTGCCATGTCACTGAAGGCTTCCAGCCCACGCAGCCGTAATATAATCGGCAGTTTCAGACTGCTATTACATGCAATAAGTGTTATTCTACTTTAAATAATTTACCGACAATTGATTGTGCTTAGGCTAGATTCGAAAACCTAGCTTACTTTTTAGTCATACAGTTTCCAAGCAAAAGTAATCAAATAAAAAATGGAGCAAACATTCAAGATAAAAATTTTTCTGTAACCATTAATTTTTTTTTTCAGGTATGGTTTTGTATTCAGTTGGCTTTGACTTCGGCCTTTCTTTCAAGAAGAGTAGAATTTGCATTTGTAAATTTAATTTTTTTAATCCACGACAGAACTTTTTTTCATTTTATTTGAAACGAACAGGAATTCTTAGCCTTTAAACCTTTTAAAACAAGTGCTCACCGACTTAATTTGTCACTGTTCCAACGTTTCCAAATTCATATCAATATTTACGACCATTTCAATGCAAAATTTATTGAAACATTTTCGGTAGTTAATAATCCGAGAGCAAATACATAGCTTTTGAAACAAAACACGTGTTTAAAAGGGTTCCTAGTATTTTCTGTATTTCTTTCATTCTTTTTTTTTTTTTTTTTTCTATTTTGTAAGGCCCGCGGTGTCCACTGATCATAGGAAAATCTTACAAATGTACTAAAAATAAATAAATAAGATAAAAGAGGAAAAAAAGAGACAATTTAATTGTAAAATCTTTCGATAACTTTCTTATCTTTTTTAGTTTACTTTAATGTGAGTTTAGGATGGAACCTCGATTTCATCGTTTGCAGATTATCTTTAGCTAATTCTTGTGGATACTTTAGGTATCTCGATCCATCTTTCCGATCTTTTTTCATGAAGTTTCGATGCAATTTATTATCTCGAATGAATACTGTAATTTCTCAGTCCGATCAAAATGTTCACGTGCACAAATACAATCCTTTAAATTGCATGTGTGTTTGCAGGCCTGACATGAAAGAAAATAATTTCGTACTCACATGCATCACGAGTTTTGTGAACCAGGACAACTTGACAAGCTATTCTGATCGGTTATTCTTTAAACAAAAAAAACAAAAAAAATTAACAAAACTGAAAATCCAATTGGTACAATTGCTTTTGCGTTTTAGAGGTCTCCTCAACCAGAGAATATCTAGCGGTCCTGCACATGAAAGAGGCACTCGTACATGCTCAGAAATGAACATTTCCTCGTAAGATATTTCTCCTGCTAGAAACATCTTTGTGTTAGTTTTTCATCCGATCATTGATGTCCATCTAAGAATTGTGGGGGAGGAGATACGATGGAATGAAATCGCCAAAGGCGTCCTTTTAAAACTTTCTCCGGGGCTCAAAATACTGATATATAAATTGAGCCAAGATTAAACAGCAGATTTTTATCGACCACGAACCATCTGTTCTGTTTTCCTGGAGTGGGTATCATTAAAGACTACACTAATCTGATGGCTCTATTTTTGGCTCACTTAATTGCGTGAGTTTTGCGTTGAGCGAACGAGCAGGACTAAAACACGTTTTGCCTTGATAATTTTACCGACCATGCAGCTGTTAAAATTACTACAATGGCTGAGGACCCTTTAGTGGTGGTAAGCTCCATCATCAGACTAAATTTTGCGTCCAATGCTGTTTTTCTGGTTATTATTTTTTCAATCCTCAGCAAGAACAATTGCTTTATGGATCATTTCCGGTTTACGCAAAAAAGGATGTGAAGCACGATTATCTGGCTGTCAGTCCATTTCTGTTGATAAAACGGCCAAAATTGGGCAAGTTATGACTCTGTGTGAAATTAATCGTTGCAAAGTAAATATCTTTATCAGATGGTCGTGATCTCAACGAAACTGACTGGTCTACGTCTATCGGTTTTGAACTCAGTTCGATTTCGACAGTCAGACGATTTCCAAAACGTAAGAGAAAGGAAGTTTCCGAGAGGGCTTGATTTCCATTTTGAGTCCAGGCTTCTTTCCTTCCCATGAAGCGCGGGCTCATTTCCCGAAAAGCGGCTGGCTATCGAGCCTGGTTTCTCAGTAACAGGTTAGAAAATGAGCAAACAAGCACTCTTTGCCAGGTGGTGGAGAGCCACATTCTACCGCAACTTTGATCAATTCTTTTCTATAATAATAGCTCCTTCATAACTCATACATACGTACATACATACATACATACATACATACATACATACATACATACATACCTATATACATACATACATACATACATATAACTTTTTTAAACTTGGATTTAGAATAGCACGAGAGAACTAGTATCTCCGAGTATAATTAGCATTTAAGAAATACAGCAAAAAAAATTGTTAAAAAAAAAAATATATATATATATATATATAGAAAATTACCACGCACACGCATATATATCATTATCCTTAGTCTCATCTACACAGTAATATTGCGAATAGTGTGCTTAAAAGCAGTGAGAGACTCAGAAATTCTTATGCTAACAGGCAACGTATTCCATGCTTGAGGAGCAGCATATCTGAACGATTGTAATCGTTGTAATTGTGGTAACTCATGGTAGATTCAATTTTAGGGTACCTCTGAGGTTGTACGCCGTTTGTATTCCATAGGAGCTTGTAGTAACTCATGGTAGATTCAATTTTAGGGTACCTCTGAGGTTGTACGCCGTTCTTCCTGTAGTGATCCGAGATATGGTGCAGCAATTCCATAAAGAGTCTTATAAGTAGTGACTAGCATGTTCTGAATAGGAGAAGATTCAAGATTCACAGACCTTATTATTCTAAGTAAAGTTTCATGGCCAAGATTACTATTCAGAACCGTACTTAAAGCCTGCTTATGGAGTTGTTCCAATTTGTCTTTACAACGTTTGCTACAAAAGTGCGAAACGTCACAACAACAATTAAGAGCAGGTAAAGTAAAGGCATTATATAACATTCGCTTGATATTATCACCGATAAGATGCTTAAATATTTTCACAACTGATAATTGTTTGTTAACCTTACTACAAATAGATGAGATATGCTTGTCAAAACAGAGTTTGGAGTCTATATTAACTCCTAAAAGGTCAACATCATCACACTTCTTTATTTGTTGTCCAGCAATATTGAAAGAAAAGTCACGGTCTTGCTCAGTACTACCTAACACTAACAGTTAAAATTTGCTAGGATTCAGCCATCAGGCCGTTCTTGCTGAACCAGTGTATTGCCTCCTTTAACTCGTGGTCTGAACTTGCATGCAAGGCTGCATGATCACTGTCCGCGTAATCACTGTCCGCGTGATCACTGTCCGCGTGATCCCTCTCCGCGTGATCACTCTCCGCGTGATCACTCTCCGCGTGATCACTCTCCGCGTGATCACTGTCCGCGCCCATACAGCTGCTGATCGTCAGCATATGCATCGAGGCTCACACGGGAAATAAAGTACAAGTATGATAAGTCACTGAGAAAGATGCTGAAGCAAAGCGGTCCAAGGACACCAACCTGGGGTATACCTCGTAGATTGAACTCCGCAACAGGACAATTCATCACCAACCTTCACCCTCTGAAATCTCCCTTTAACTGATAGTCCTGTAAAAACGCGCAATTTGGGACTTTTCAGTTGAGAAAGAAATTTGATCACCCACAAGTTAAGTTTTGAGCTGTTAGCGCTCAAAATGGAACAGCTGATTATCTTAACTGACATTTAGATGAAACGATCATTGACTGAATAAAAGAAGTTGCAACGGCCAATGGAGAAAGATCTTAGGGAGCCAGTGAGAACGCTTAGTTAATTCGCGGGAAAACGAGGCAATGGCTTTTGTTTACAGCTCTGCAAAAGATTTTTATTTTGAATTTTTCCCATTAGTCCCGAGCCATATTGAGATAAACCCCAACAAAACCTCAGCTCTTATACACGCTTCTCTATATGAGAAATTAAAGCCAAGGTTTACTTTTAATGCGAGGTTAACGTTGATCCATTTTCGAACCCAGCTCTGATTGGTTAATAAAGTGGCGCAGTTTTTCTACACCAGTCTAAGCAAAGCAACGGCAAAGTAACGGCAAAGTAACCTCGGCTTGCTCTCGACATTCAGTTTAAGATTGAGGGCCCAATATCGTTGATTTGGTGAGGTTCTGTTATCGAGGAGGCAATCGTGACATCTTTTACTGACTGGACGTTTGCGTGATATTAACATTCAATCGCTAAAGGGAAGTTGCGTTCATTCAAAAAGGCAACCACGATGGTTCGCTCTGACGAAGGGCTAACGCTCGAAACGTCAGCTTTTAACTCGTTACGGTGGCCAATTTACAATTTCAACTTAGTTGATCTAACCAAATTACCATGATGGAAACTGTTGAAATCCACTTTGAAATAGCTCGCTCTCACTAATGTAGTTCCAATTGCAAATATTTTTTTCTTCTTCTTTCACAAAAGTAAAACTGAACGTATTGATATTCTCAATTATCTTGTGCAAACATGCAGTTTGAAAAAATATTAATTCATGAGCTACCCCAAATCAAAGTGCATATCCATTTCCTGTAATATGAAATGTCCATGCATAGTACACATTTTCCCTTCTTTGCTTGGCTCTTGCAAATTTTTGTACATGGTGCTAAGCTTTTTTCCGTTTGACCCAGGTGAACATTCTGGCAACTCCTCCTCATACCGCTGGGACCCTGTAGTTAAAAGACGTATCATTTTCAGACGAGAGGTATGCGAAAGGAAAGGGAGTTCTCTTGCCTCTTCCAGGCGATCACTTAAGAAAAACAAAGTACGATAGTAACGGGCACGATGATGGTGTAGGGTTGGAAAAAAAAAGGTTTGGGTTGGGTCGCGTTATAACTGAAGCGACCCGACCACGACTTCAATCGTTTTTCTTGCTCCGCCGTTACTCTCGTGCTGTTTACAATTCCGCTCCGTTTTATTAGCTGCAACAGGCTCGGAGTTCTTGCGGAGGAGACACAGCAATGAGTGAAATGAAAACTGAGCTTACATTTGAGAACCTTTCGACAGTTAACCAAGAGAAAACCCCTGGCTTAGATTTAGAGCACTAGTAAAACAGTACTCGAAATAAATAAAACACACGCTTCCTTTATTTCATTTCATTCTGATTTAAGTCGCGCTGAAAAATCCGTCTTTTGTATTCCTTTGACGGCCAACTGGCCGATGTAAGTAAGCTAAAATAAACCTTCTCCCTTTGGTTATCTCCTTTATAAGACGGTTTACGGTCAGTTCGCCACCACAGCACACTCGCTACCACTCGAAGTCAATTCGCCGCCGGTGGTGGCGAGTTGACTTCGAGTGGTGGCCGGTTTTTTTGGTGGCGAATTTGCTGTGGTGGCGAATTGACTGGATACCTGTAAGACATACATCGCAGTTTTCTCTTGTACATGAGAACCATTTACTGCTAGCGCTTAGCACAAAATATGGTTCCCTAAATGCATTTTCAAATATTAAAACCAAAAAAGAGACCATGTTAGTTTTCGTTTCAATTAATTTCTCTTAAGCCCCACCCATCAATAGAGATTAATGAGCCTACGACGAGCTTTCCTGTGAAAATTGTGATTTATGTTTTGTTTTGAAGAGTGCCAAAGACTTGCACAGACAGATTATGACTTCCAGGTCGATATCTTGAGTTAATAAGAGAAACGGTACACCGGTTATTTTGCACCTTGGTTGTATAGAAGCCGAGCTCGGCAAGAGATCTCACATTTTTTAAACATTAAACACAAGGATTTCAAAACCTTAGGCACAACCACACAGTTAAAGAACGAAATCAGCTACTTCTCAAATTTCGGATATAGTCTTTACAGATACTACAACAAGTTTATGTTACTCGTCTTTAATTTGTGGCGTGCCTTGACCAGTTGTCGCACCCACGGATCATGTGACCTTCCATGTTATCATCCGCGTACACGTCCAAGTAAAGATCATCCAGGGGAGGGTCGGGATCGCTCTCGGCTGCTTTTACAGCTTCTTCGATCAATTGTTTAGCCTCCTGTTCGATATTCTGCAACGGAATCAGCGAAACAACTTGAAGATAGGTTATTTTTTAATTCAAAACCTTAAAGGCGACTTAATATATCTTTGTGTCAGCCTCTTTAAAACGGTGCAGCCAACTTTAACTTAGATCCTTTTCACGCGTCGCTCATTTCCTCGCTAGTCTTCTGTTCGTTTGCGCGGAGCGAAGTCAGTTTCTGGGCAAATGCGCCCCCACCCCTCTCCTACGCCAACATAGCCCTAACTTGCTATCAGTTGACTGTTATTGGGCTGGGAGGGGTAGGTGCGCAGTTGACCTGATACTAGCATTGATCCGTTTGCTCGATCAACAGCTGAGAAAGGGGGACTGCTCATTGTTTCAAAAAAGAGGTGGCCAATGTACCTGCCTACAATCAATAGGGAGCGTTCCTAATGAGACTTTGTTCCCTGTGGGTTCTATCATACTCATTGATGTAACCTGGACAAAAAAACTAGTTATTGTACAACACATACCTTAATTTCATCCGCGTCTGCCAGCCCCGAGTCTAGAAGTTTTTCTCTTAAACTTAGGATTGGATCACGATTCTTACGCATGGCCTGCACTTCATCACGTGACCGGTAGCTACCAGACAGTAACAAATGAATAAGCAAGGTGGTTATTCTTTGCTCCAAGCACACTACAAGTGAGAATCTCACACTTGGTCGCCCTTTTGCTTTCCTAAGGATACCTGAATCAAGCGAATGACCCTGGGACAACTGAACAACCCAATCTTGGGGCCCTGGGATTGTTCTTCAGCTTCTACCTTAACCCTTAAACTCCCAGGAGTGATCAAGACAGAAATTCTCCCAACAATATCAATACAATATCAATACAATATCAAGCAGACAAGCGATAGGAATAAAGAAAAATAAATTAGGGTATCATTAATTGATCCAATACCAAATTCTCTGAACTAACATCACAGGAATTGTATGGCAGACAGTAAGGAGAATTAGTAATGAGATCATGGGAGTGAGAGGGTCAAGACCAGCCCATCAAGATTGAATGATCTAGAAAGAAGATTGAATTCCAAGCTGATATAGCTTCCTTGGTTCAGAGTTGTGTTATTGGGAATATTTAGTATTAGTATAATTTTAGAGCTGAGCAAAGAGTTTCCAGCCATCTGATTGGTTGAGCAGTTCCTTATGTGACGCTATATGAACCGCTCCACGCAGTTTATATAAAATGTTAAAATAAAATGTTAATAAATGTTACTAAAATGTTATGATTTTAGAAATTTCTCTGTTCTTCAGCTCTGAAATTATACTAAAACGATTATTTGCCTCAGGTTCGGTGAATATTGTGGAATAATCCCTCGACTTAGTCTCGGGAATTATTCGACAATATTCACTTCGCCTTCGGTGAATAATTGTTAACTACAAATAATGCCCTTTGCAATCTAAGACAAATCTAACTGTATTATTACCTTGTGCCAGGGTCACTCATGCTGTGCCCATAATAACGATATGTAGCCAGCTCCAAGACAATTGGACCCTGTAGGAAAAGGAGCATTTGCTTGTCACAATAGTTTGCAGTACTCTATAGTTGCAAACATCTCTGCTAACATAATAAAATTCCCATTAAGGAAATTAACATTATATGTACTGTTAGGTTATAAGGTTACTGTTACAGTAATTAATTCATTGCTACTTCACAATTCCAACTTCAAAACTAAAGGTTTCAAATTTTTGCTTTGAACCCTCACTTTCCATAATTAAATCACATAGTCACATCTGTCACCTGAATGCCTGCCACAAAACAGGAAATACTATCCATGCAAGGAATAAATATTTTCAATTGTTTGAAGCAAGCAGATTCCCTGACTGACCAAATTACATTGCTAGCTCTTTGGTGATCAAAGCACTCCATAATTCACTACCTTTCCTGATCGTGCGTGGTCTGCAGCAAATTTTGTTACCTCTCTCACAGTTAGAACATCCATACCATCAACCTATCAAGTTAAAAAAAATCATCAAGTTAATGCTGACAAAAGGTAGGTATTTCAACTACCAAAACAAGATCATGGTCCACAAATCCACCATGCACATTTTAACTTGGTTGAATTTCAGTTAAGTGTATCATATACCTTAATTCCAGGGATGAAGTCTCCTCTTGTGTGGTAATCAGTGGTAGCAGCTGCTCGTTCAACTGATGTACCCATGCCATATCCATTATTCTCGCACACAAAGATGCATGGTAGATTCCAGAGTTTAGCCATGTTGTAGGTTTCAAAAACCTTAAAGATAAGTAGATAGAACATTCACTGGTTCCTACCAGTCATTGTGCTTAGTAGTTCTTGAAACTTCCTTGGAATCAAGAAGGAACACATTCATTTCCCTCTGTGTCAGAAATCCACTGTCCTGAGCTGCATAACTACACTTAGGCAGTAAATCCTATTAATTTTGTCAAGATGGGCATTCACACTAGATGAACGCATGCACTAATCCTTCAAGAGTCTACAAAAGTATAAACCACTTTAATTCTTACCTGTCCTTGATTAGCAGCACCATCACCATATAACGCTACACATATTTGCCCGTTACCTCTGTACTGGTGAGCTAATGCAATTCCTGCACCCAGTGGAACCTTAAGTAACACAATTAATTTGCATGAAATTTGATGTAATGACACCAAACCAAAACCACAGCAATAACTTACAGCATATTCTAATCAGAGGAAAGGAAAACATCGCCAGATGCCCATGATAAAAAAGGTAAAGTCTGTTTTACGAGCCAAGTAGCCCATCACTGAGGCTTGCACTTAACTCTGGTTTCAGTAGCGTGAAGCGACTACAATAATTTCTATTTCCCCTGGATGAGATGGTAGTTTATCACAGGGTTACCCCCAAATTTGCAAGTACCTATTTAAACACCTGGGGACCAAGAACACAACACAAACTATTTCCCTGGCCAGGACTTGAATCTGGGCCACTCCATCGGGAGTCAAGCTGACACTAACCATGAGACCACAGTACCTCCTACTAACAGAACCTCACGATAACTCAAGGTAAATAAATTAAAGCAAACTGCTGAGAGCATGGAAAGACTTGAGTGACCACATTGTCATTGGTTTCTGTTTGAATCTGACTGCTTGAGAAAGTGGTGAGAAGTTTCTGAACTTTAACCCTTTAATCCCTAAAAGTGACCAGCATCTAATTTCTCCTTAAGTAGAGTAATACAGCTGAATCATTCATTAAGATCATGAGAATAAAGGAAATGACTGCCAACCTAAGAAGCTTTGATTGTTAAACAAATTCTCCTTGTCAGTACCAAAGGAAATGTATGGAGAAGAGTATAGAGAATACGAATGCTGATGTTAGAGTGCACAGGGTTAACTGAGAGAAGTGAAGCAAAACCAAAGCAATCCCAAACTTCTTTCAACACTGAATTGTCAATTGCTTTAAATGGTAAAAATTTTGAGTGAAGCCATTCATGCTCAAGCTGGACAATTTTACAGGTCTGGAAAATTCATTACTCAGTTGACAAGGGAATTCCGCTTGACAATGCATGTGAAAACTGACATTGCACAAATTGCGAATCGCATAATTGAATAAAAACAAGAATAAAAATAGAAAACAGCATTACCTATAGTTGTTATGTATAGTTACGTAGATGCGAAACAATATCACAGCCTAATTTTCGACTTGCAATTCACGTTAAATGCTCTGCTTTGTTAACCAATCAGAATGTGAGATTTTATTCAATGATACAATTCTCTTTAACATTTCAGTTAAAAATTAGACATGAAACTCAGCTTAAGGTTACTGTGCACCTTCAGGGGTGTCTCGCGTGCAAGCGATGTACCACGTCTGGTTTAAACTGTAGATATCTAAACCCCACATCAAATTAAAGCTTATCAGACTATACCAAAAATTTTGAAAAAAGATGAATTGTCGAATTTTTCACGACTTCTAAATGTGACCGCCCAAATCACCTTTTATGAGCTACAAGTCAAAGGGTATTTGTTTGATTGCTCTCAAATTTTGACAGTACCTAGTTTTACATATAAACAACAAAAACGTGTCACTGAATTTTTTATTTTCAAATACTTTTTTTTCAAGAGCAATTTTTATACGATCACTCCACATTTTGTTAATCCTATTTCAAAAATGTATTGTAACTTTTCACTGAAATTGAATATGGCAAATCGCAGACACGTTTTGTTAGTGCTTTGGCCCCGGAAATGGAGGAACACATTAAATAAGCAAGAAACAAAATTTGGTTTGACATGTAACGTTCAAAATTCGACAACTCATTTTTTTTTTTCAAAATTTTTGGTTTAATGAGTCTGATAGCCAGTCCTATAAGCTTTATTTTGATATAGGGGTTTAGATATATACAGTTTAAACCGGCTGTGCTACACTGCTTGCATGTAAAACACCCCTGAAGGTGCACGGCAACCTTAAATAATGCTGCGTCACTTCACTCAACCCTTGGGTTTGAAGCTTTTAATATATAAAAATCCAAATACATACAATTTAGTGAATGCATTCGTTTGTTCATGGTACTATACAGAAACATGGCTAAAACTTGTCTTACTAACTCTTTAATTAACACCTAGGAATGACTAGCATCCAATTTCTCCTTAAAATATCACCCCTTAATCACACAATTGGGTCACAAATTAGTATAAAGGAAATGATCACCAACTAAAGAAGTTCTTGATTGTTGAACAAATTCTCCTTGACAGCACCTTAGGAAATGTATAGAGAACAGTGTGGAGAATATGCATACTGATATTGGGTTGTGAAGGGTTAATATCATACATGTACAAACCTGTGCTCCGACGATTCCATTTCCACCATAGTATTCATAACCATACATGTGCATAGAGCCTCCTTTCCCCTTGGAACAACCTGTCTTGCGACCTTAAGAAATTAAATTGTGTTGGTATAAATGGAAATCATGTCTGAAAACAAAGATTCATAATCAAAATTTGATAGTTAATGTTACATCCTTGAGTTCTTTAAGGTGGTGGTGCAGTAAGGGTGTCTTATGATGAAGTACATGAGATATAATGCAAATACATTATGCTTCAGTGATCTGCCACCATTTTGTTTTTTTCTGAGTTGAAATATTCATTGCCCAAAAAGCTGTAAGTTGTAAATTATAAGGAACAACTCTCTATTAGATACTGACCAATCACAATCCTTAACCCTCTACATTCTAACTCAACAGCTTGGCATATAGCTAACTTTTCTATTCAAGACATTTGACATATTTTTCCAGACTCTTCAAGAAAAAAAGGTGACAAACTGTATATTACCAGCTAATTCACAAAGGATATCTTTCACTGATACTCCTCTCAAGTAAGTCCAGCCATGACAGCGATAAGCAGTGATCAGACTGTCATTCTTGTCCATAGCAGCATCCATTCCAACACAGCACGCTTCCTAATAGGAATGAGCAATAAGACATCACAACAAAAATATCTAAAACACTCATGCACAGCATTATAAGTGCTTCATTTGAAGGGGAAACTGAATATTTGACATTTGATGTGCAATCTCCTGAATGCACAATGACTGGTCATTCTAAGGTACTTTAATTGTACTAAATTTCAAGGGATTTTAATTTGTTCTTCATAACCATAAAAATTTCCTAAAATTACAACCTGCAAAGAAAAATATATTTATTTACCCATATTGAAATTCAATTAGCAAATCAAAATTACTCACTGGGTGTAATAAAAGATATCATAAAATAGAATTTCTTGTCAAAATACAATAAAATGATCTTGGTTTAGCATTTAAAAATCTACTCCGACTACTAGCCATCAAACCAATGACTGTTGCACTCAGATGTGATGACACCCTTTGAATACATGTAAAGATCTTTCATGAACTTACCTGCCCTGAATACAGATGACAAAAACCTCTGATGATTTTTGACTTATATAAAGTACTTGCAGCTGTCTCCATTCTGCGGATGATCTGCATCTCTTTGTAATACTGTAGACCATCTTCTCTGGTCAGAACAGCTTTTTTGGGAGGACCACTATCTAAAAGATGGAGGGGAGAGTCCTGGAAAGAAAGCATTTGGAAGAGATTTTAAAACAAGTATTTTCATGCAGGTTAACAGGACACAGCTGAATAGCGTTTATGCATGCACTAGGTTTTGCCACAGAAACACGGATTCTGAGTTGTTCGCATAGTTGATTTACTATTCTGTTGCTTCGAGGTGTCGTTTTCCTTGCCGCTTTTCTTTAACAGAACAACCTTCAAAAACTTGGTACACCCCCTGAAAATTTTAAAAAATTGATTTTCTCCTTAAATCCTCTGGAAATAGGAAAATGCCTTCGACAAAAACAGAGTTCCTTGGTTTTAAAAGTCAGCCCTTATTTTCTGCTAATTTCGCAAAATTTTAGACCTAGGACATTCGAGCCCACGTTGTTGACCGCATACCCTCTGACTTAGCATTTCATTATTCAGCTCTGTCGGTTAACAGCTTATTCACAGAAGCCCCAATGATGCGCCAATATTGCCTGTTAACCCTTTAACTCCCAGAAGTGATTAACATGTAACCTCTCCCTACAAAAACCCCTTTATCATCCAACAAACAGGTTATGAGAATACTCAGACCTATAATGTGGAAGCTGTTTTCCTGATCTAGCACCAACCTCTTGTAACTAACTTACAAGGAAATGTGTAATAGTTAGAGGGGAGAATTTACAATCAGATCTTGGGGATTAATGGGTAAAGTAAATGTAGAAATCAACACAATCAGATGTATTCAGCAAATAGATTTCATGTTGCTGACTGTTTCTGTTCAGTTATTGATCAAAATTTGGAAAGGACAAAAACCACATTCACAGATCTTCTATAATCTATCATTGGTCATATCCACAGTAACATGGCATCTATCACATTATGTAATGAAAAGTTGTTTATGATGATCTCATGTATGCATCTGTCCACCAATAGATTATGAGTAAGAACCACTAAAAATGCATATTGAACTTAGCTTGTCATTCAAATTTTGCACAGTCTCTCGACTACTAGAATTACTGAATATTCTGTATATAATATGTTTGTATATTTATATAATTTGTTTATGTATGTACAAGACCTTTATGTACATATAAGTTTGCGGTTCTAATACGCGCTTAAACATGTGCGATTATTTGATCGATACCTCAATTGAATACCAGAATATTAAATTGAAAACAAACATTTAAATACTCGTATCTCAGTGTCTGTCCGAAGGAAATTTAACGTGTAGCATATGATATTTTCATTCAGCCCCACTGCAGCAGTGAATTGGAGTGGCTGGCAGGATACTTACTGATAGCTCAAATTCGGCTTCATTCACTTGATTTGCGAGTCCTCTTGAGCTAGCAAACCATCCTACAAACTGAAGTCCAGAAATCAACGAATTAAGGATACCTTCATATGTTATTAGGGTTCCCTCATGTGATCTGATGTAAAACCAAACGAACGAACGAACGAACGAACGAGCCAATGGTTAACTTTCATTAATCAAAACCCGTACACACTTTCTTATACTCTGTTAAGTGCACAAGGAGATAACGGCCTTTATATAAGTCCAGCTTAAGTATATGGCATAATTGTTAGAATCAAAACCGATTTGATCTTGAGCAATGTATGACTTCAGAATTCTACTGTCTGTACAGCCTGTGTAGGAATGGTGCCTGCCGGTGACACTCCTTTTCAGATCACATGCCTTGAGAGAGCATTTGAAAAGCAGCAAAACATCACTCACATACCGGCTTCTTTAAGGAATTTGCGGCTCTTAATGATAAAAATCCTCTCCTAAGCATGATAAGGGAAGCTTTTTCGGAGTAAAATATAATGTCAATTTTCCACAACACGAAACTAACACCAAAAGCTAAATTCAGTCCCAGACTGTTCGTGGATTATGACTGACGAGGGAGGGGTGGGTGCTCTGCAATGAAGCTTTATGAATAAGGCTCCATGCTCCACGTTTAAAGGGGGACAAATTATTAAAAAAATTTCTAATGTACAGCTCTAATCAGAAGTTTCGATCGGATAGTTATCGAACAACATCTACCACTTTGATTTCAACAGATAAGGCGTGGCTTAAGAATAAGAGGCTATAAATGAATTTAAGGAATGACGAACAAATCAATTTCTGTGCTACTGACGAAAACTTTTTTTCTAAGTGATTAAATCATTTGCAACGATCGTGTTGCGCCCTATACGATTCCGAAATAAATTTCGGGCCACAACATTTTCCTCTACCACTCGTCCCCTGCCACTATTTGGGATCTAGCATAAATTATGCAAATTACATACTTCACAACCTGATAAACATCTTAACAATAGATTTGTGCACCACAACCCTAGCGCTGGCGGTTGGTGGTTATTTTAACATTTTTTACACTTGCTCCCTTCAATTTCTACGCATCGTTGCTCGTAATATGTAAATTTAGCAAGACGTAAGGCTTTGCATAGGCAAAAGTCTAGGTATTGCTCTTTTGCCAGACCGATGAATCAAAGATCAAACGCTTTTATTTGCGAGCGTTTAAAATTTTAGTGCTCCACTTGTGCAGTTTATATTGCCTTATTGGTAGTTATGTCGGACGATATTTATATCGATGTAAACTACCTTACTGAATCAGAAAGGGATGCCATTCTTCAAGTACTTGCCAAGGACGAGGAACTTCGAAAACAAGAAAAACGTCGTATTAGGTAAACTTTGATAAAATCAATGTTTGGTTTACATCTTACAGGCTGCACACTTGCATCCTTTACTAATGTTTTCATGTATAAACGCAATATCGCTCTAAAGTTATTCAATGCAGTACCCTAAGATAACTTTTTGTTGTTGATATAGCACGAATCGTTATTTCTTGTAGTGTGTTGAAGAATGAACTTGATGAAATCAAGAAGAAGGGAGCTAGTAAAGAGGAACTCGAGTCATCTCGTGTTTGTGCAAGATGTCGAGTACCGCTTGGTTTTATTTTGAACTGTGGAGCACTATGTCCGAAATGCGAAAGCCGAGTTTGTAAAGAATGTCGAAAAATGATTACTACTACGTGGCTCTGTATTTTATGTGCAAAGATCAGGTGAGGAATTGAATTATTGACAATGAAAGGCAGCTAGGAATTGGGTTTTTTCACTCCATACTTTTAAAAATTAAAATTTGTCAGACAGGGTAGTTATTCGCGATTACGGTATATCAACAGACTAAAGTTCAATTCATTCTTGAATGAAACTGAATGAAGCCATACTAGCAAATGTGCCAGTGATATTGATCCCGTGTACAACTATTGTAAATTTTACTAAGGCTAGTACGATCGATATATTCAGCGAGTATCTATACCCAGCGGGTCGCCAACAATAAATCAACTTCTTATCTCGAGGGAATATTTAATTTGCCGCTGGAAGCTAAATTGTTTTGTTTTGTTTTGTGCTATTACCACAAAATTTGATAAAGATTATCATCACATCAAAAATGATAAAGATTATCATCAAATCAGTGAGGTAAAAGGGAACATCGTGGATGAGGTTATGATAGTGTTGTATTTATTATTTCTTGTGTTATGACGTTCAGGATAAAAATATTTTTTTTCAATTCCGCGTTCCAGGCTATTCCTTTGAGACATAACTTACTGATAACTGCATTTAATGTATCTTGATTTCAAAGGATGATTATTCACCATTTTCATATGTGTCAATTCCTTTCAATTGTCAATGTGTAACTAAGTCTGAGACAAAGTAAGTCAAATCAACATTTGTTTATGGTATCTATGGTGACACTAAGAGTTATTTGAAATGTTTTGTGTACCCTGAAATGTGTAAAAAATAACTTTGTGTCAGTTGAAAGAACTCATATAATTACAAAGTCAGATATATTAAAAAAAAAGACTATTAATTCTGAATTAGTTGTAATGATGACATCTTTTTAAGGGGTTTCCACTGTCAGATATCTTGTGTCCAGGAGATTATTTTATCAATTAATTTTATCTCTCAGTTAGCAGGGTTCGAAATCTCCGCTAGCCCAGTAGCCCAAGGCTAGTAAAAATTTGGTCGGGATAGTCAAAAACCATGTATAATAGCCTGCTGGCTAGTAGAAAAATTAAAAGAAATTATATCTAATTAGTTTACTTTAAGTTCACAGTTGATTAAAAAACCAAGAAAGTTTAAATTGTAATGATAATATCAATGAAGAAGGTATAAACCTTTCATCTTCTGGCGTCTCTTTTTGTCTTGTGCATTGATCGTAAACATCGCTAGATGCCAGACTTTGCATTTAATCTAGACAATGTCTTCCCTAGTCTTCTCCCCACCAGTGTTACGTGCCTTGCACATCACCTCGCACTTTAAAGTTTATAATAGCTTTTTACTCAAATAGCACATTATATTATCACAACAACATTGACTTTGTTTTTTAAAATTAAAGAAATAAAGGCTTTTGTAGCCCGCAGTTAGCAAAGCTATTCTAGGTGGGCTACTTAAATAGACACTGTATAGGCTGTGACACATACACACACACACACACACACACACACGCACACACACAGGCAACAATGAAATAGATAAATAAATGAGCAAATAAAAAAAAATAATAAATAATAGTAGTGATAATCATGTTAAAGGTTTTAACTGAGCCAGTCACACAAGGGAGTTTTTAACAGGTCAAAGAGAAAGCTAATCAGTTGAAATACAAATATAAGCTAGAAAGGTCAAGTTAGTGCAAGTCAACATTCATCTCCTCAATTTCAAGAATTTTCGAAAGCAAGTGAGTTAGCTCACTTGTGTGTTAGCATCACAATGAAAGAAAAAATTTCATTCTTCATTCATCATTTAAAAGACCTTGCCAATAAGTTTAGAGGAAGGTTTGTGTGTTTGGGGTTGAGGTAGACCTCGAGGGAAATCGATGTGGGCTACCAAGTTGTGTTTCGGACCAGTAAATTTTAGAAATCACTAGCCCTGGTGGCTAGTAATGCAGGTAGCCAGATGTCAAACCCTGAGTTAGTAGGTTTGCCATGATTGTAAACAATTATTGGATTCGGTTTTTGTGATATCTGGAATAATCAAGGTCGAGGTAAGTGTTATCAGCCTCAGCCTTCGGCTTTGGCTGATAACACTAACCGAGACCTTGATTATTCCGGCTATCACAAAAAC